ATACCATTACTAATTACTACACCAAGAAAATAATACAAATTAACTATCTTAAATAACATCTACTATCATTATATCCTAATAACTAATCCTAATTACCCCACAAAAGCCTATGACTAATTACTGCTCTAATAACCCAAATTAGTTTATATTATAAGTAATAATATTAACCATGGTATTGGAGGAGTTTACCGAGCAGCCTGACCATCACCCTCAACCCACGACGCCGGGACAGATCAAAGGGAATATATATATTATCTCGGGGGACACTGCTGTCTCTTGTGGGTCACGGCCGTCCTCACCTCACACACACACACACACCCTTCTACACCCCGTACCCCTACCAATACACACCATACACACCTACACACACCCCTCCACACAGTACACCTCACCCCCCCCCCCCACACACACACTCACTCGACACCTCTGGGAATCACAGCTATCAAAAGAGAGGGTCATTATTTCTTTATGGTTTTAACGCCCGCCTTCTCCCACTAGGTCACACACACAAAAGGGGGTAACTCACATATATTGACATTTATGGGATTAACAATGACCTTACTTATCGTGGTGGTCACCTTAAGAGTACAAGTATCAGTGTTTGGTCAGTTTGTGTTTGGTCAGTCAGAGTTGAGTCAGGACATTAGTTTGAAGCCCGTGTTTGACATCTCGTTCCCCCTTATCACCAGTTAAGTCTCCCCACAGTATCCATCTTACGACATATGTATAAACTTACGACATATGTATAAACTTACGACATATTTATAATCTTACGACGAATATATATTTCAAGTCCCCCAAATTGTCTATGATACGACACATTTCCCTCTCCCTCGTGGTGTATAAACTGGTTTTTGTCCAGGTGTTGCTGTAATATATAAAGATTTAACCATTTATGTGTACCTGTGCTGGAGGACATAGTGTGGTGGCCAACAAGAAGTAGGTCCCTCTATTCTGGACACGATAACATCACTCTGAAGTAAGGATTATATTTATCAATGTTTTTATGTATGTTTACTGTGTTTTATTTTGGTGTTAAGTGACTGAGTTAAAGGTAAGGGAGTTAGTGTATTTCTGATGGTGTTTTGTTGTTCTTGTCTTTGTTGAAGTGAATCAGTTAGGGATGGTCCTATATGGCGTTAGGTTAGGGTAGGAGGCTAGGGATAGAAGATAGGTTAGATTAGGTTAGGAGGAAAGGTGTAGAGATTAGGTTTTATTAGATTACCAACGCGGGGATAGAGGTTAGGTTAGCAGGGACAGAAATAAGGTTAGGTTAGGTTACGAAAGAAGAGGGATTAGTAGGAGGAGGAACTAAGGGACTAAAGTAACCTGGGGGCGCCCTTGAGAACCAAACGTGTTCACTGAGGTAACTAATGAAAAAAAAAAACCAGACCGTGATGACAATAAGACAAAGACGGTGTTGTGTGTGTGTGTGTGTGTGTGTGTGTGTGTGTGTGTGTGTGTGTGTGTGTGTGTGTGTGTGTGTGTGTGTGAGCCTAGACTTGTTCACCCTTCAAGGACACAACCTGTTCCCTTACAACACATTATTACCTCAGACTTATGGTGGACGAGTCTTATTGGTGCACGTAAGATTTAAACCTCACAATAATAACCATAACAATATCACTGAGACTCTACCTTAACACAAAAGATGGCCGCCAAATATCACTGAGACTCTACCTTAACACAAAAGATGGCCGCCAAATTACACTGAGACTCTACCTTAACTATTAAACGTTGATTTAACACAAGACTCGAGAGAATTACCATTATTTCATAAGCAGTTCGCCTTGGTCTCGACACAATACATATAAAAGTCACGACAAAATACCGAGACATGCCCTACTTTGTATTCCTTATTCTATTATGTTAAGATAACTCTCTCTCTCTCTCTCTCTCTCTCTCTCTCTCTCGTTTATTTTATTATCTTTAATTTTACTTTTTTCTTGCACACATTTTATTGTTTAGGTTAGATAACTATTCTTCAAAAGCTTCGTCCTGTTGCTTAAAAGACGTATTGTATGTTTGTTAATGATTTGAGTACGATGACTTAACCTCTTGAGTACGATGACTTAACCTCTTGAGTACTATGACTTAACCTCTTGTGTACGATGACTTAACCTCTTGTGTACGATGTCTTAACCTCTTGAGTACGATGACTTAACCTCTTGTGTACGATGTCTTAACCTCTTGAGTACTATGACTTAACCTCTTGTGTACGATGACTTAACCTCTTGTGTACGATGTCTTAACCTCTTATGTACGATGACTTAACCTCTTGTGTACGATGACTTAACCTCTTGTGTACGATGTCTTAACCTCTTGAGTACGATGACTTAACCTCTTGTGTACGATGACTTAACCTCTTGTGTACGATGACTTAACCTCTTGTGTACGATGACTTAACCTCTTGTGTACGATGACTTAACCTCTTGTGTACGATGACTTAACCTCTTGTGTACGATGTCTTAACCTCTTATGTACGATGACTTAACCTCTTGAGTACTATGACTTAACCCCTAAATAACATGTCTTAACCCCTGAGTACGATAACACTGTACTCAAAAGATTAACTCAACGTCCTTAATAAGTTGCAAAGTAAAAAACAAAAAAAAATATCACAACAGAACGAATTTTTATCTTAGATTTACAAAAATCATGACTTAAAAAAAAAATACTAAGTTACCGGTAAAAAAAAAAGGCCACGAAAACCATTTTCTCTCAACCATCAACACCATTTTCTATTAACCACTAACTCAACTAAATTTATCAGCGATCTGTTTTGCTTTAATTATCACCCAGTAGGACTTATTTTTTCTATAACACAAACTCATTTACAAATCAATAATTGCAAACGAGTTTATCTCGCCACGCCCAGGCTGAGAAAAAACAGGAGTGTCCGTTGTGAGGTGTTCGTCAAAATGCCTCGTTACTTACGTTCAGAGGGTTTGTTACGTTCACAGTTACGTTGAGAGCGTTACGTTCACAGGATGTTACGTTCACACGGAGTTACGTTCGCGGGGTTCGTTACGCTTACAGGGTTCGTTGCGTTCACTTTTTGCATGCTCAGTGTCCTTACGTTCGAAGTTGTCATTATATTGTCATTGTGTTTAAAAGTCACTGCGTTTAGCCAGAGCGTTCACACAGAATCGAACAGAGAGAGACAGTTGTATTCATAACTCAACGCGAGTCTGCATTGACTGACAGAGGCAAGACGTAAGCGAACACGAACATGAAAAACACGTAAGGTCGGCTCCACAGATCCCCAGACAGGTAGTCGAAGGTGCAACTGGAACTGCCTAGCTTATACTTTTATCCTCTTCACCACTGATCGGCTCGTTAGCCGCTTGGGCGATCGGTCACGTCTCTGATTACTTTTCCTTTTCTTTTATCCTCTTCAACAAAGGATCGGCTTGTTAGCCGCTTGGGCGATCGGTCACGTCTCTGTTACACACTGTTGGCAAGTACTGGGCATGCACCGGCTCCTGAATGTACCTGAACCTGCTCCAGTGGTGGTCAAGTCTGGTCTTGAAAGAGCTCACACTCGGTGCCGTCACAACATTTTCTGGTAGACTGTTCCAAGAGTTCACAACTCTCACTCCGAAAAAGTTTGCCCTCACAGTTTTCTGGACTTGCGGCTTCTTCGATCTTGAGCTGTGACCCCTTGTGGGGAAAGTGTCCGCCAGCTCCAAGTAAGGACACTCGACTGAGTAGTGCCCCTTGAGATGTTTATACACCTCTATTAGGTCGCCCCTTGCCCGTCTGTAGTATAAGCTAGGCAAGTTCAGGCGCTCCAATCTCTCAGGGTATTTGAGGTGCCGATGGGCAGGCACCAGTCTGGTGGCCCTCCTTTGAACATTTTCAACCAACTGACTGTTAGCATATCTCGGGGACCAGACGGGGTGACAGTACTCCAGATGGGGAAGCACTTCACTCCTGAAGATCGTTACGAGGAACGGGCCGTCTAGATATCTGAACGACCTTCTTATAAGACCCAATAATTTATTCGCCTGATTTACCTTCTTCTCGCAATGGCCCGAGAATTTCAGCTCATTGTCAACATACACACCTAGGTCCTTCTCACATTCAGTCTCAAATAGTGCAGTTTCTTCATCCCGTTGGGACAATTGTATTCATAACTCGTTAACCATTAAACAAAGTGATCAGGCTATCAAGAGATTTTAATGCATATACAACTCTTATACACGTAGTCATAACTCAAATATCATTAATTACTACGTTTATTAAGTATTTTGATATAATTACTTACAATAACAGAGAAAACAATTGAATGTTTATTACTTAAAAACTTATAAACAAGAAGTGGAGCAAAACGAACCAAGAACAGAACAACGAAGTAGTTCCGGGACACTGACGAAATTGGAGTGTGGAGAACAATGGATTTTTCTTGTCATCTCAACCAAAAATCAAGAAATTGGTTGTTGGTTTTAATAGTCACTGGGGGAAATTATAATACTTAAACAAGACGAAATATGAATTAAATTGATTGATTTCTTATGTTTTGTGTTTAATAATGTCTCAAATATTTTTTTATACAGTATATCATTCTTATGTAAGGAGTTAATATAAAAATTGTATCTTCTTTTATGCTTGAAATATCTAATGTAAATTTGATATTTTTGAATAGATTGAAAAGTTAATTGTATTTGTATGTAAAAAAATAAATCAGAGGCCTCAGATGCTTAGAACACTTGTGAGTGAAACAGTAGTCGAATCCAAGTGATTTCGAATCATCATCAATATCTCACTTCTTCACAAAAACTTTAACACATAACCTAAAAACCAATAATATATTTAGTCCAACAGGATCATTAACCAGTACAATAAAATAAATATAAATTATCCTTACAGTAAAAAATAAAAATAAACCAGGTTCGTCTTGTGTTGAAATGAAGTTTTAACCTTGGCTAGGAGGCTGTGGGAGTGAGACAGTGAGATGGTCGACGAGTGGCACTAACTTCAGTCTTTGTGTTGAACAGGTCGGGCGAGGATGCTATCTGGCTTGCTCCTGCATATCACCACCTTCCTCACCTCCCTCGGTCTAGGTGAGTCATGAGTCACGATGGGTCAGCTGTCTTTAGGTGAGTCTTAATTGAACGAGTGATGGTAGGTGAGTGTTAATTTTGTCTCCTAATTGATGTTAAGTGAAGGTATCTAGTTAAGGTAGAGTCTCAGTGTTAATGTTGATGTAATTTTTTTTTTATCTTAAGTCAATCAGTTAAGTACACCTCACATCTCTACTTACGAGGAAAGACGTACACTTAACCTCTTGAGTACGATATTAATTCCATAATTCATCACACTCAATAAACTGCCATCGTACTCAAATGGTTAAGTTACCGTACTCAAGGTTTATCACCGTACTTTAACAATTATCATACTCAAGTTGAATCATTGTACTCAAAGGGTAAAGTTATTGTGCTGGAGCTTAATGCCATCGTACACAACACAATTAAGTTAATCGTATTCAAGAAGTCAATGTCGAAGCTATTAACCCGACCACTAGTTCAAAGGTCAAGATCATAGGTTAATAATAATAATAATAATAATAATTAACGGTTTATTGAAAGAGCTTGGCAGCCAGAAGGCTGAAAATATACAGTTACATATTTGGGGAATGGGTTACGAATTACAAATAATATACAAGTGACATAAGTGACACAAATAAGACATATAGTAACTTAGATGGGGATCAGCTCAAACTACAGTTCATTTCAACATAGTGACAGTGTAGGGAGCAGTGTTTACTGGGAGTGAATACACTGATTTATTACATGTTATTGATAATTTTTACAATGGTTGGGACTGGGCTGTTCTTATAGCGATCAGTTCGTGCACGTATGGGCTGGATGCGGTTGTGGTGTCGAACAGCAATTCTCGGACAGGGGATCTCAGGTGGTAGTAGGGGCCGGTGTCGGGGATGGTGTAGAAGCTTCTTACCAAATTTGCAGATGAGGCCGTGGTGATGGTCAGTGAGAGTCGAAAGGGTCAGTGTGTTGAGCGCTTCTTGATATGTGGAGTAGGAAGGGGAGAGAATAATCTTGCATGCCCTCTTTTGCACTTTTTCTAGGTGTTTACGTTGTGTGGCATTTAGGGAGGAAGACCAGGTGGGGGAGGCATAGGTGAGCTTGGGAAGTATGAATGTTGTGTATACACTGAGGAGCTCGTGTGCGGGAACTCCGAGGGACTTGAGTCGGCGGAGGAGGTGGAGACGGAAACTGGAGGATTTGACAACTTCACTGACGTGTGGTTTCCAATTTAGTTTGTTGTCTATGGTGACGCCGAGGAGCTTCGTGGAATCTACAACCTGGAGTGTGTTCGGACCTAGGGTAATGGAAGGAGGTGGGACAATGTCGGAGGAGAGGTTGATGTGCATAACCATGGTCTTGGTATGGTTGATGGTGACATGGTTGTTGGTGGCCCAGTTTTGGAGACTGGTCAATAAATCCTGAAGGGCGGTATAGTTGGGAGCAGAATTGTTGACGCTGATCCCAATGGTGGAGTCGTCGACATATTTCCAGCGAGCAGGGGTTTCTCTTAGGGCATCATTGATGAGCATAAGGAAGCAGAGTGGTCCCATCTTGGTGCCTTGGGGGACGCCACAGGTGAGTGACTGAAAGGTGGAGACAGCCCCTCGGAAGCGTACAGCTTGGCGTCGGTCACTGAGGAAGTCTGTAAGCCATGGTATGAGACTTCTCCGAAGCCCGAGGTCAATAGCTTTGTTTATGATTATATTGTGGTCGACTAGGTCGAACGCTTTAGTGAAATCAATGAAGGCGACAGCTACAGACGTTTTTCGTTTCTCGAGATGGCGGTATATGTAATCGAGAAAGCTGACAAGACAGTGAGTGGTGGAGGAAGTTTTCATGTTGCCAAATTGCTGAGGGTCTACGACTCCTGCAATATCAGCATAAGCCCAGTCAAACACAAAACTTTCACAGATTAGGCTGGGTATTGGGGTGATTGCAATAGGTCGTAGCTGATTTAAGGATTGTGGGCTGGTTGACTTGGGCACTGGTGATACATAAGAGGTCTTCCAGTCAGCTGGGCATCTGGCTTGACTGAGAGAAGCATTGATGATGGAGCAGAGGGGTTTAGCAAGCTCCGGGGAGAACTCCTTGAATAGTTTCATTGGTAAGTCAATGGGGGTGGTAGAGCGTTTTAATTTTAGTTTGTCCAGGCGTTTTGCTACGTCAAATTCCTCTACTAAGTCAGTGGGAAGGGGGGCTGGTAGGTAAGCAGGGAGAGTGGTTGTGTCAAGCCGTGGGAGCGTCTGGCATATAGTAGCGAAATGGTTATTTGTTTGCTCAGCTGCGTCAACATTAGTGAGATGGCTAAGGAAGGGGAGGGGGTGTGTCATATTGTTTAGTCCACAGAGTTCTTTAAGCTTACCATACCATTGACTGATGTTGGTCTGCTTCAGGTGTTGTAATTTGGTTGGGTAGTGGGACTTCTTTGCAGTGCGTATTTCGCGGATGACTCTGTTGCGAAGTGACCTGTAGCGGATGTGGTCATTGAGATGAAAGGCTCTGTCTCTCTGTTGCATAAGTCTTTTGATCCGAGGTGTGATCCAGGGCAAGTCAGCTGGGTGAGATCTGACGGACTTCTCGGGGAAGAAGTGGTGGTGAGCTTCGGTGGTGGTGTTGGTATAATTTATCCATTTGGTTTCCACGTCATCCACGCTGAGTACTTCAGTCCAGGGATAGTGAACTATCCACTGTCCAAAGAGGCGTACTGCAGAGTCAGTAATCGGCCTGTAGGTCTTGATGTAGGGTCTCTGTACTTGAGTGGGAGTGGCAGCAGGGGACCAGAGCACTGATAAGTGTGTGCTACACCCGATAGGAGGCAGTGGTTGAGGAGGTTGGTACTGGTCCGCTAAGTCAGTTAAGATAAGGTCAAGGGTGTTTTGACCGTGTGTGGGGAAGGTCACAACTTGTGATAGTGATAGCTGGTCCTGGATATCAGTGGTGTCAATTTCATTTAAATCCCCACATAATACTAACTTGGCACATGGGTACCTAACTCTGAGGTGGTCTGAGGTGGTGATGAGATGATTGATAAGAGTGTCTCTGGTGGGTGATCGAGGCGGATGGTATGCCACACAGATTATGATGGAGGCAGTGTTGCGTGGGTGTGCCCGCAGCACGACACGTACCCATAATGCTTCCACATCTGCTGGGACTTGAACATCCAGGCGTGACGGGCGTAGGTCATCTTGACAGAAGAGGGCAACGCCCCCTCCGCGTCTTTGTGGACGAAGGTGATGAAAGAGTTGATATCCCTCAATGTGACACGTTTCAGGTACAATTTGCCAAGTCTCACATATGGCAACCACGCGCGCGGCGGTTGACCTGACTGTAGTTGCCAGCTCGTCGAACTTGTTAGCTAGGGAAGTGACGTTGGATAGCAGTAAAGACGGGAGATCATACCATATCCGTGGAACTTCAGTGTGGTGGTATGGTCTGTCAGGGGTGGGTTTCTCCGGTTTCCTAGTGGAGGTTACGGTTCTAATGGGCTTATGTGCATGACGGCCTTGTCTACGGCTCCGCGCGTGGAATATTTTCAGTGACTTGAGTAGCGCGATAACACTCCCATCAGGATAACCGTTCCCACGCTTTAGATGATACAGAGTGCGTCGGGAGTAAGTGATTGGTGGCCATCGGTTGAAATCTGTTGTGGGCGGACGGAAGTGTTTGTCACTGGCGGCACTTTGAGGGACACTGACACTGGTAGACATCTGTTAATGTTTGTCAGTTGTAAAGACCGTGGACTTTGTCCTCGGTGCTTGGGGTCGCCGACACAGTTTTCACGATATATGTAAGCACCGCGGTGGTCCTTGTCACTGGCACTTTAAAGTTGACCGATAAAGTGCCCACTGTCTGACTTTTCCTTGGGGTGCACTATCGAGCACTGTATGGTAATCACTTATTGCACTGATGGCTAGAATGTTTTGCCGAGAAAGTTCCTTAGGTGCACTATAGGAACACTGCTCCGTAATCATTCGTTCACTAATCACTAGAATGTTTTGCTGAATCGATCCTGGTGTAGTAAGGCTGGTAGGGCGTTGGGGTATAGCAGGGGGAGTGGGCAGGGCCAAACAGATTCGGCCTGGCTGCTAAAACCGAGAGCGCCTTCAGGCACGTCTTATCTCACTGAGGGTTGACAAGTATGTATGGTTAGTGTGTGTGTGTGTGTGTGTGTGTGTGTGTGTGTGTGTGTGTGTGTGTGTGTGTGTGTGTGTGTGTGTGTGTGTGTGTGTGTGTGTAGACTTAAAACAGTTATGAGATCAGATGACATATAAGAGTTTCCACAAAAAGATTCCTGTTGACATCATAACGACCACCACAATAATATGTTCGTGATTTCCTCCTCCAGTGACAAACAGTAAGATGGATGGTGAGTAAAATTGTCATAGTGGTTCATTATATACAAACAGTAAGTCGATTTACAAACAAGCTAACACACACACACACACACACACATATATACACATACTCACTCAAGCAACAGACACACATACACAACCACCACACACACAACCACAGACACACGCACACTCATTCAAGCAACAAACACACACAGACAACCACCACCCACACACACACAGCCACCATACACACACACACACTCAACCACACACACACACACACACACACACACACTTGTATTTGACTATGGCCTTTCAACAGACCCCCTCGCCCCCCTCACATGCTAGCACTGAGAACTTCCTGCTCACAGTTTTAGCATTGATCAACCACTGTTCTGTCTAGTTTAGTCAACAATACCCGTTCACCTTCAGGTATTTATCACACAAGTACTTTATTAACTCCTCCTGTCAAGTTTTTTCTCTGGGTATCGTAATATTTAACATGAAAACAACATGATAATAATGTGAGGTGTACCATAACAGGGGAATGGTTCGGTGTGGGAGTAGGGGCGCGCATCGCTGGGGGCCGCTCCCTCCCAGCCAGCTCAGACCACCAGGTTGTCGTTCTCTCCAACGAGATCGAGTCATGGATGGCCCAGCCCGAGCAGTCCATCAGCAACATGCCCTTCCACCTGTACCAAGTAGGTCCCCCCCGCCCCCCTCTCTCTCTTACTCAACCAGGTACATCTGTCTCTCTCTCTCTCTCTCTCTGCCTTACTCAACCAGGTACATCTGTCTCTCTCTCTTTTTATTATTTGAAATAACTCGAATATATCTTTCTGGTGCTAAATAACTCAAATATTAAGTCTTTCAGGTGATAAATAACTCAATTTATCTCATACATATACCAAACAACTCAAAATTTCTTATATAATTGCTAAATAACTTAAATATCTCCTCCAGATGCTAAATACTAAGTGAAATCTTCCCCCTTTGGATGTTTGATAACTCGACTCATCTCTCCTCCAGGTACTAAATGCTCTTAATGGCTCAGAACAAGCAGAGACGGGTAATAAAGACCCAGATCGGGTATTTCACGGGTCGGGTACCTATTGTGGGTCGTGTCGGATCCTCTCGAAGATGGTGATCGGATACGTTCGACTGGGTGGCCCCATGGACATAATGGCCAACTTTCTGGTCAAGATTTGCTATATTGTGGGCTATCGGTCCATACCTGTGTGTCGAGGCATCATTAATCAAGATAAGGTGTGTTAAGTTATTGTACTCAAGGGGTTAAGTTGTACTCGAGAGGTTATGTTGTACTCAAGGGGTTAAGTTGTACTCATGGGGTTAAGTTATCATACTCAAGGACTGTCATCATACCTAGAAGTTAACTCATCATACTCAGTGTTATCAGAGTCATCATACTTCATTAAAACTCTGTCTACTTTTATATATCTTTGTTTATCTATCTATCTTATCTATATCTATCTTTTCTACCTCTCTATCTATCTTGTCTATCTATCTATCTTATCTATCTATCTTGTCTACCTCTATTTTGTTTATCTCTCTATCTTGTTAACCTTTATTTTCTCTCTCTTTCTCCTCCCTCCTATAGGATCAGCTAGAGTGGATCCTACGCAACAGCAACACAGAGGGGGAGGAAGTATGTGCCTTAATGCTGGGTGACCAAGGGTGTGGGGTGTTTAGACGTGCACCCTGGACCATCATGCTGCCCTCCCCAGACACTCATCTCCACCACAGGATACAATTACCCCAGAGAGACGGTCATTTGCCACCACATAAGAGAGACGTTCATGTCCAGTTGCCGCCGTTGCCCCAGAGAGATGCCCGTGCCCGTGCTATAGATTCCTCGCCCGCTAAGGTATAGGGTGTGTGTGTGTACTTAAGAGGGTTCTGATTCTGGGTTTATAGGTTGTGTGATGCACTTTTGTTTTTTATTGTGTGTGTGTGTGTGTGTGTTTACAGTATACCTATTTATTAGTCAATCTTAATTATCTATAGCTATCTCTCTTTACCTGTATGTCTATATATCAATCGCTCTATCTGTTTACCTGTCTGTGTATTAATCAATCAATCTATCTCTGTTTACCCATCTATCTATCAACAGGTACAAGTTACAGGATCACAACAAGACTCTCAACAGCAGTATCAGATCGGCCCTCCTTCAGTCACCTTCAGCAGGAATAGCGGGAAACATACGCTGAAGATGTTGCATCTAACAGACCCACACTTCGACCCTGAGTACCTCGTGGGGGGCAATGCTGTGTGTGATGCTCCCCTGTGTTGCAACGCTGATAGTGGTGAGGATGTGAATGTGTAGTTTAACATCTCATGTGTATAGATGTTAACCCTGTGTATTGGTGTATATAATATAGTAGAATAGAGCGGGATAGTATTACTGTATATATGATGCAATCCCTTGATACAGGCAGGGTGGTGTAGCAAGGCTGGGTGCAGTGTAGTGTAGTGTAGTGTAGTAAAGTCAAGGTTCATGTTATATTTAAGGCTTAGGTGTTGTATATTTGGATATTATGTTGTTCTGTGGCTCAGTTGAAGGGGTTCGATTACTGATGGAAGTGAAAGCTTTGGGTTCCATCTTTCCCCAAAGGATAAATAGGCTACAATCAGGTGTGTCCAGGTAAGAAACAAGCTTCAAAATGCCCTAAATTATGTTATATACACCTGTCTGGCCACCCTCCACTACACTATAAGAGATCACAATATTTTATCACACGTTTTACTGTTGTTCCCTCTCTCATAGGTCCTCTCAAGACCCCTGGTGATGGCGCGGGGAAGTGGGGAGACTACAGGAATTGTGACTCCCCCAGATGGCTGCTACAACACATGCTACACCACATCATCACCACACACCCGGTAATAATTCACTTAGGAATGTTTTATGATGGGTTATTTAAAGACTCATCCCCCCTCTACCTGGAGACTTGTTCACCCCCTCTATCTGGAGACTCGCCCCCTCACCTGGAGAATTTACCCTCTCTATCTGGAGACTCACTCCCTCTCTCTTAGCTCATCTTCACCACCTGACCCTAATCATCTTCACCACCTGACCCTAACCCTCTTCACCACCAGGACATCGACTACGTGTTGTGTACAGGTGACCTCGTGCCTCACCACATCTGGAGGATCACCAGAGATGACAACGTGGCCATCATGAAGGAGATGAGCGGCATGCTTAAGAGCTTCTTCCCTCACGTCCCCATCTATGGGGCTGTCGGCAACCACGAGAGTTTCCCCAGGGACAGGTGGGTTAGAGTGTAGCTGTGTCAGTCAGTCAGTCAGTCAGTGAGTTAGTTAGTTAGTTGGACAGTCAGTAAGTCAGCTTGTTAGTGTTAGTTAACAAGCAAATGTTTGTTAGTTAGTCGGTCAATCAGTCAGTATTTATTCATCACTGTTAGTTAGTCGGTCAATCAGTCAGTATTTATTCATCACTGTTAGTTAGTGTCAGTCAATATTAGTTAGTGTCAGTCAATATTAGTTAGTGTCAGTCAATCGGTCGGTAATAAACAAATTCTCGTCCTCAGCTTCCCGCCGCCAGAGGTACCAGACGCGTGGTCAAGGTTCGGGGTACAGTGGCTCTATGATGCCGTGGCCGAGCAGTGGGGGAAGCTGATGGGGGAGCCAACGCCCTCTACCGCCCGCTTCGGTGGCTACTACTCCAAGCTGATACGACCAGGTCTCCGGATCATCTCGATAAACACCAATTACTGTTATAGGTTCAATTGGTGAGTGTTATTACTGTATGTGTACTGTAATATACTGTATGTGTGCTGTAATATACTGTATGTGTGCTGTAATATACTGTATGTGTACTGTAATATACTGTATGTGTGCTGTAATATACTGTATGTGTGCTGTAATATACTGTATGTGTGCTGTAATATACTGTATGTGTGCTGTAATATACTGTATGTGAGCTGTAATATACTGTATGTGAGCTGTAATATACTGTATGTGAGCTGTAATATACTGTATGTGTGCTGTAATATACTGTATGTGTGCTGTAATATACTGTATGTGAGCTGTAATATACTGTATGTGAGCTGTAATATACTGTATGTGAGCTGTAATATACTGTATGTGAGCTGTAATATACTGTATGTGAGCTGTAATATACTGTATGTGAGCTGTAATATACTGTATGTGAGCTGTAATATACTGTATGTGAGCTGTAATATACTGTATGTGAGCTGTAATATACTGTATGTGAGCTGTAATATACTGTATGTGAGCTGTAATATACTGTATGTGAGCTGTAATATACTGTATGTGTGCTGTAATATACTGTATGTGTGCTGTAATATACTGTATGTGAGCTGTAATATACTGTATGTGAGCTGTAATATACTGTATGTGAGCTGTAATATACTGTATGTGAGCTGTAATATACTGTACTACTGCAACATATTCAACTGGTAAGTGTTAGTACTGTATCGTGTAGAGACCAAAGGTGTAATGGTCAGCATACTCACCTCACAAACAAGTGGTCCTCGGGCAGGGTGAAACTATGGGCAGGTTTCTTTATGCCATTCATTAGGTGACATGTTAATCCACTAATGATGTACTGTAGTGTGTTGTTTTTGATGATTACTGTAACATTATGTACTGTACTTGGGTCAGGTGGCTGCTGTATAAGAGTGTGGACCCTGGCATGGTGTTGCGGTGGCTGGTGGGGGAACTACACCAAGCGGAGGGAAGAGGGGAACTGGTACACATCATCGGCCACATCGCTCCTTACTACAGTGATTGTTACACACAGTGGGCTCATCAGTTCTCCCGCATAGTGTCCAGGTGGGTGAACAACTTCTCCAAAATGGTCACGTTTACTGATAAGATGCAACATTTGGACTTGATCAGTTTACATATATACTGTACCTTACACTCGATCCCCCCAAAAAGCGTTACGATTTTGTGTGAGACAATACAGCACAACGGACGAAGGATTTTGACAACAGGAGTCGTAATGTTCATTTTGAAATTCATCGGACCTCCTCCCCCCTCCCCTGTTGAGATACATTTTGGAAGCAAATAAACTGTAAAGGTAATTTTATAATTGAATTTATTCATTGGACGTTTCACATCATGATTTAATGGAGTGAGAGCTGACATAAGACCAGGATGGACCAACACTGGCACATGTTCAAGTATATCAAGAGCCCTAACATGACCAGTACTGACTCCCCAATCAACTAGACCCTAGAGCCAACCAATAGTAAAGAAAATAAGACAAAAGGAAACTATATAATTATTTCATCTAAGTACTTTAACTGTCTTGTTTTATATAGATTTACAATAACCACATCCCAGTGTCTCCCACCAGTGTTACCAACCCCCTGGTCTTCCCTCACAGGTACAGCCACATCATCAGAGGTCAGTTCTACGGACACTCGCACATGGACGAGTTCCGAGTACACTACGACATAAACGCTCCCTACAAGCCAATAGGGGTCCAGTACATCACCCCCAACAACGGCCCCTTCCACGACCTCAACCCTTCCTACAGAGTCTTCTACATCGACGGGGACCACCCAGACACTACCAGGGTAAAGTGTTCCTCTCCTGTCACTTCTCTCTCATGTTGTTCAAAGTTTCTATCTAGGCCAGGATGTGAGATGGGTATTAATTATTTATTCATTTCACCAGTTAACACACTTTGTCATTCACCTGGTTAGTTTGTTATTTATGACCTTTATTGTCCAGTGTAAACAGGAGAGAAGTATAGTATTGTACTGTATCTGGAGACAATCTGCCATGTTAGGTAATATCTCACTGTATAACACCCTTCTCACATCTGTCCTGGGCTGGAGATCGAACCCAGGATACAGTAGTAGAGGTACATGTAAATCTGCTGAACATGGCAGGTTTTCTCTGGGTATTCCAGTTTACTCCTGTACTAACACTGGAGTAATGTCTGCCACTATACAAAATATCTCTTAAGGGTAATCTGCCTCTACTCAGTCCATCTCCCCCATAACACACAACGTCCACCTACAGAAAGTGATGGACTATGAGACGTGGGTGATGAACCTGACCCACGCCAACCAGTACGACGCCCCGCACTGGTACAAACTTTACTCCGCTCGCCGTGACCTCCAGCTGCCCTCACTAGACCCTCAACACTGGGATAAACTTGTACAGAGGATGGCACGAGACAGAGATCTCTTCAACAGGTATCACAGGTAAGTTAATAGTTCTTAACGACTAAATTTTCAGTGTTTATCAATAAAGGTCATAAAGTCCGTTGGCAGACCATAATAAGCCCCAAATGAAAGTCCGTAATTCTGGAGACAACTGAAATACTAATACGTAGTTCAATATGCTAAACTTCTCATGATACATTTACATACCAGGTTTAGTTAAAATCCTCTGCTATTTACTAATTCTCAGTCAGTCAGACACAAGGACGGACACACACACACACACACACACATGGAAACAACCAATTTTATGATCAAGGGAGCTCTGTGGGGTAATTATTCATTCATGTAAAAATCTAGCTACTGTATTCATAATTTAACCTCAGATAATTACAATGGGGTACAGTAGTTCAAAATTTTAATTAATTAAATACTGTATAATATCCAGTTGAGGTTAAGAAAAGGTTAGGGAAGTAATGGCTGATTGGGTAGGTCAAGGAAGGATTAGGGAGGTATTGGACGGGTTAAAGGTCACAGGTTAAGGGTCATCCTCGGTCCATCCAGCTGGGGAAGAAAGATCAATGGAGAACTGTACTGTGTCGTCTATACTCAACTACTCGTGTACTGATGACTGTTTCTTCGTTTCCTTTATCCACACTGCCTCGAATATGCCATCAGGGCTGTGGGACTTACTTTTGTGGATTAGTTGTTTTCTGTGGGACCTACTTTTGTGGATTAGTTCTTTTCTGTGGGACCTACTTTTGTGGATTAGTTCTTTTCTGTGGGACCTACTTTTGTGGATTAGTTGTTTTATAAGTGAGCAATGTTACAGTAGAGGTGGAGAGAACTTACAGGAATATGATCAGCGGTAACAAAGTCAGTCTCGAGTCGTGGTTAAGTGTTAAGGCTTCTTTTTATTTTCACTGTTCTCTCATTTACTGCAAAGGGAAAATAAATGTGGATGTACTTCACTAGAGATGAGGAGAGATGTACTTTACTAGAGATGTACTTATTTACTCCAGTGTTTGTTAAATGTATACGAGATGTGTTAGAACTGCTATAAGTTATTATTAGTGTTCATTCAGTGTCACAGGATTATTACAGTATATTATTCTTCAACAGATACCAGGTTCAGGACAGTGACAGCGCTGTATCCCGCGGCTGTGATGGCAAGTGTCGCAGGAAAACACTCTGTAACATCGTCGAGGGGGACAAACTCATGCCACCCAAGTGTCGTCCACAGAACGCTTGAGTCTGAAGTACGAGTGACGGTCCGAGTCGTAGTGTAAGGCCCAGAGACTATACGTTCCAGATAAGACCCCAACAAAGTTTTATCCCCTGGGTCATAAGAGTTCCTTTCTGGTCAGGTATATTTGAGGAACATTGGTGATGATCCTCGAGGACATGAAGTCTTCAGTGTAACCCCCCTTTAATATTCTCCGATCACCGAGCGTTTAGTTTATACTTGAGACGGTAATCAGATTATATGTGTAGATGGAGGAAGTACATGAAGGTGTGTTGTGGTTTGTGACAAGTGATGGTATGCCTCTCACACACACAAACATTCCGTAAGGCTTTCCTCACATCAGTCACACCACATTTCCACTCCAAAAGGATGAAAGAAACACAAGCACTCATGACTGGAGGCCACTGACCAGCCCTTGTGATGTACCACCCAGTGTTCTTATTATAACTGATGCCATAGTTTGTGGTTCAAAAAAAATATATAGATTATTGTTCACAGGTTTTGAGGTGTAATGAACGTGTCGTAATTTTTACACAATACTGGTGTTGTGTTCCGTCCCATGGGGTGAATGACATAGGTGATGTGTGTGTATGATAATTATCAGTTCCAAATCAAAACACCTGTAAGCCACCAGGTGACAGAACTACAGTATTTAAATAGATGAAGTAAGTGATCTATTTAGGCTTATACACTAACTAATTTATCAATGGTGATAATAAAGATTTGTGTGATGTAATAGTCTCATGTTGGTGATAAATATAATGCACTCTTATGACAAGTAGTGTTAGAGGATTTACTGAAAATATTTAGATGAACATAACTCATCGTCTTGCTGCCAATACGAAGAACAGATTCGGTTTTAGATCAGTCTTGGGCACCTAAATAAAACACAAACATAAAAAGAAACTAAAATCCCGATTATTCCAAAACTCTTAAGTAAAATTTTGGATGTGGGGATGACGAGTCACTCTTGAACTACATCTTCCTTCACCAACTCATTATACACCTCATAACTTACCTGTAACTCACTGTCACTGATAGTCACTCAGGTGGTACCTCTTCTGCCCGTGGTATGGAGGGTATCGGTGCCCAGACTCTGTAGCTGGATCTATGACCTTATAGCCAAAGTTCCCCAGACACTTGAAAAATATCTACCATAGACTTGTGGTTTATATTTGCGATTGGTTTAAAGCTGATGAATGTTCCTTATCACTATGATATTCAGAATAACCTGAAAAAAAAGGATTATAATGCAATGTAAAGTCACTAAAAACAATTTAAAATCTATAATACAAAGACTAATCAGAGTTAATGTTAAAACTACAGTCTCCCTTAACCTGCACTACCAGACAATGACAGATATCGACAACTGTACACACTAACATTATGGTGGTCATGTATGAAATGATCCCTAATGTTAATGTGTCAAGTACAGTACAAAAGAAAGGAGACATAACTGTTCCATATATCAGTCATGTATATTAGTCCACCCAAACCATTTATAATTTAAGTCTCTATGGATTACCTGAAGATAAGCTCCCCCCCCCTCACCTCCGATGTGCTCCCCAGCATAACCAGCCTCAAGTATTATCACCCCAGAATTTAAGTTTATTGTGGGGGCTAATCCACTGGTGATTCACGAAGGCTAAAGTCATGAATGGTCTCGCTGATACACGTCGTTGGAGTTTTACCGTATACCTCTCTCTACTCTACTGTGTATTCTTGAGCGGAATAGATCTACAGTATCGACACCCGCCCGTCCAGCCCCTTCCGCTGTCTTCCGTAATTGATATTCGGGTTAAAAAAAAAGTCCCTGTGCACCTACGATAAATCTACTTATTCCTTGTTCTAACTCTCCCGCTCCTCTACAAACCCAGAGATTCAGATTCATGAACCCGAAGCAATAGACACCTATGCATTACTCTATTCATTGATGCTTCAGGTTCACGAGTCTGAATCCTGAGGTTCGTAACTGTTATAAACCTTGTTCTACTTACAGTAAATATCAGGAATGGCGGACATAGCCAGGGAAGGAGGCCAGTTGTCGATAGTGGCTGGACCTGAAGACAATAGATCAGTTCCTAGTTCCATGATAATTCTTATGGGTATTGTTTATATGTCATCAGAATCAGGTGTTGTTTCTCTACTCTGAAATACAATATTATATACAGTCAGTTATGTACAGTCAGTTCTCTCTTATATACAGTCAGTTCACTCTTATATACATTCAGTTCATTCACATATACAGTCGGTTCATTCACATTTAGTCAGTTCCCTTGTATACAGTCAGATCTCCAATATACAGTCCTTGTTTACAATACACCCTCTCATTGTTGTGTGTAGTAGTAGTTAGGGATGTCATCTATAAGAACTAGTCGTCAATTGAGGGCTACGTAGCACCCGGTATAGTCTTTCAGTTATTATACACAGATTATATAATAATGTTTATAATTCTTGTGTTAATGATCTGGGTAATGTGATTAGTTAGTCCAGTAAATATTTCTCTTTTTTTCTCTCTCTCATTTTGATTTTTTCTCTTGTTTCTATCTTCATTTTACTTCCATCTCTCTGTTTCTTTCTCTATTTTTCTCTTTCTCTCTCTTGTTTCTTGTTCTTTCTTTCACGTTTTCTTTCTCTCATTTTCTCTATACAGTGGTATCTCGGTTAACGAGCGCCTCGGTTAACGAGATTTCGGTTAACAATTTACCTTCCATAAGATTCTTAACTTCGGTTAACAAGCAATCCCTCGATTAACGAGTTTTTTACGAGCCGACTTCAACATGTTTTCGCTTGCATTTGGCGGTCCACCAGCTGTAGTATTAGTCCGCCAATACAGTAATCGGTTTTAGGGCTTAAATTCCTTACTATTTTAGTAAATATCAAGAAGTTTATACTACAGTAGTACCCCGATTTATGCGGTCAATTGAACCCTCAGGGTGCCGCGGAAAGTGAAAACCGCATAAAGTGAACAACAGAACATATGGGATTAATTCCAATAGAGACTGGCCCGACCCCCAAACTCCACTTTTTGACGACACACAACTATGTTGTAGTAAAAATATTCTTAACTTTATGATGGTATGCACACACAATTAATAATTAAGAGAAATATCAATAATATTAGGGTTTTTAACACTTACATTAGTAGAAAGGATGGCTGGGCACACGGGGATGGGCGGTTGGTTCCGAGGCAGAGGGCAGATTATTGGCCCTAACCTGTATCACTTGTATCACTATCCACCACAGAGGCTTGCAGGGCCTCTTTGTCAAACCCCTCAAAGTCCATATCCTCACTATAATTATCACTATCACTGACTTGGGCCGGCTGTGGTGGGTGGCGGGTGAAGAACTCGGTAATGTTTTGATGACTGGGCGACCTTGTGCGCATCCTGCCCGCGCCGCTTCCCGTGTATATGAGTAGATGCACCGCGGAAAGTGAAAGTTCGGTTCTGGCAAGGCATCGCGTATATGAGAAATCGCGGAAAGTGAAACCGCTTAAAGCGGGGTAATACTGTATTCAATAATTTTAAAAGTTTAATATTAACTTTTTTAGTCATTTTAACAATTATTGAACATAATTGAAGGTAAAGAAACTAGTTTCTGGCATGCCATCCAGCCTGTTAACACATCAGACAGGCGTTAGTCTCTCTCTGTTTTCAGTAGAGGTAACATCTTGCTTGAGACTCTCTTCAACTAAACGCTTTTTTGTGTGTTTCCAAGCAAATTATTGGTCATTTTGAAATATATTTTACATATTGACAATATATAATGCAGTGCAGTGTTGATTTACAGAAAATAATCTTGAAATACACCAAGAGAACTAAAATTTTATGGGTGAAATGGTGCCATGGGGTGACTTCTCTTCCACCCCAATGCCTTTTCTTCTTCCTTCTCCTCCACCCCCATTCTAATTCCCATCATCATCATCATCATCATCCAGGAGCCTTCTACATACACACCTCAAAGTAAGTGAACTTTTCTACCTTTTTTGTTGAATTTAGGCAATTTTCGGTGAGCTGGAACCAATTACCCATTGAAACAATGGTTTCGGTTAACGAGTTTTTCGGTTAACGAGCAACCTGCTGGAACGGATTGTGCTCGTTAACCGAGGGACCACTGCAGTCAAATAATACAGTATAATCACTAAACCACAAGTCATACAATATTATAGTCCAAAGAACTATAATCATCAAAATTATCTATAGTTATATAATTGCAACTTAAGTAGATCATTCTTCAAGTTAAACATTAACAAACATTGCAATTAATAATTATAATACAAATAATATCTAAAGCATTCATTGATGTTTATATCCAATTGTGTTTTGATGTTAATGTTGGAATATAGAAATTACATAGAGCTCTGGGTATGGAAATTTTAAATAGTCAAAGTTCTCATAGTCTTTCCTCTACGAACGCGAGATTCAGATTCACGAACCCGAAATTCAGATTCACGAAGCAGTAGACACCGATGCATTATTCTGTTCATCGATGCTTCGGGTTCACAAGTCTGAATCTTGGGGTTCGTGACTGTACTTTACACTAGACTGGTGTTCACTGTTTACATGAAATCTGACTGGAGGATAGACTCATGATGGAAGAAACTGTTTGACTATGGGAGGCAGGAAGTTCAAACAAGATTAAGGCTATACTTCCAGGTATAATCAGGGAAAAAAAAGTCTCTATGAACCCTAAGACTCATGAACCTGTGTACCGTCTATTTCTCGGATTCACAGGTTCAAGGATGGGAGAGAGGACTGACAGAGGCCATCTTTCCCTGACTGTACTAACTGGGATGAATATGCAGGTTAAGTGACTGTTAATCTAGACCTACTTACATTATTCCTACTGTTATTATCTACAACTGTGTGTCTAATTACAGTATTAACATATTTCTATGTACTTTCTATATAATATAATCCACGCATATGTTACACTACGTTAGTTATCGTTACTTTTATCAGGACGTTGACGGCAATACAGTATTAACGTGTTGACAAGTCCAGTACTGACCCCTACACTTGTGATGCGAAACAGAGCGAGTGGTGTTAATCCCTTGTGTATGGGCTCCCTCTGAGATAGTCTACTAAGCTCTTGCGTAAAGTATCGCCTCTGAATTGAATAAAATCGGTCATGCCAAATAAAATATAAAAAGGGCGTCCCTGTAGTGAAAGGGTTAAGATCCAGCACAGTTAGTTTGTTTATGGCAGAGAACAGTGTAGTTTTACCTGTAACTTATAAACCTATCCTTGCCAGTGACCGTAGTGGGATTACTGAACTGAAGAACTTGGTTATCATCTCCCATCTATGTCTGTCTTGTATCAACCATTACACTGTGTTTAGTTACTCTGAATGTCTTGCTTCATGAAGGTAACATGTGAAGTGTTAATAAAGTCTCTTGATTGTGTTTTAAGAATAATTTAAGGTACATTTTCAAAACAAAAGTGTGTGCAATACTGTCATTTCCTACATACTGTATCTCTCAACCACGTGCAGTGTGACTTAGACGTAAAGTAATCAACAGATACGTTTATAATATTTCTTTACAATTCTTTCGTCGGGTCTTAAGTCACGGTGTACGCGAAGAATACAGACATGTGTAGATGACGGTACTGTATACATTTACGTATACTATATTTGGGTGTGTGTGCTCCTCAAGGGACTTTATAAACACCTTTAGTGGAGTTGTTTCGTAGATGGAGTTTGTTGTTGTTGACGTAAGTGGAATTCTTCTTCTTCTCTCACACACTTGTCATGTACAGTTGCACTCATGTACATTTTGTATAAAGTATTTATTGAAGAAATAAATGTGAAATTATTACATGTAAATAAATGTTTAATGTTTATCTTTGGTATTCTTATCATTATTGTTACAGTATATTGTATTTGTGTATGAGTTTGTATTCCAATCATTCTTGTAACTGTACGGTATTGGGGCATCAAGACCACTGACATCATACCGTACTTGAGAGAACTAATCCTCATCGGGTCGTGTGTGCGAGAGAGAACAGTTTACCCCTACAGCTTCCACCCGTCAGACGAGCATTTATGAGAGAGAAAGACGACAGTTGTATATAACTTTATTGGGTAGTACAGGTAATGAATCATGTGCACCACAATACAGTATGGAAGGAAAGCACAAAAAAAGTAATATATGCATTAGCCAAGCACCCATTGGATAATACAGTTATTAATTTATTCCAGAAGGACATTTGACGTATAATAAACGGGAAAAAACCAATAGCAATAAAGGTTAATCGCTGCGAAAAACATTTAAGATCAAACTTTATTCCTGCCGATTTTGGGGGGTTTTATCACACGTCCTGAAGTACAGTACGTATAGGATCATTTAAAGTTCTCGGTTAAATAATATGATCCTGAATAACATATTAGCTTCAATCCAAATCACTCGTTATATCCGATATACTTGTTCTTGAGTATATTAAAGAGGGATATTTCAACTAGGTGAGGATAACATACTTGATTATAAAAGATTGCATGGTAAGGCCCTGCTGAACAAGAATTATCCCAATGAGTAACGAATGAACAATGATTATGGTATCCGAACGAGTAACTAAAGAACAATAATTAACCCGAGGAGGAGTAACTAATGAGAAACGATTATCCGAACGAGTAACTAATGAGCAAGAATTAACCCAACGAGTCCTACTTGAGGAACACATCACAGTCAACTTATACGCTACACCTTCAGGAATTAACTTTACGTCTAACGTAGTGTAAAAAATATAACCTTTTAAAAGTTGATCTACGTCTCTAATACAAATTAAGTCAAGACGATCCTTTACGTAACAAATAAAACTTTCTGCAGGTTACGGTTTTAGAAGAAAATGTCGTTACGTCCAATGTTCGTATCTCTTAAGTGTTACGAAGACTTAAAAGAGGCAGCTTCCACTTACATCACTTTCCAGTTTAAAATAACATCCGCATGGTAAAGGTTTTGGTGTATTTAATAATGGACGTCACCACCAGAAGCTGTCTGGTAACGATGCACTACAGGTGAGGCTTATCCAGGTAAAGAGTATCATTGTATACCTATGTAAACTATAATTTAACAAACCCCTATACAGTACAGCACGCAATGACAGCTGAGCGGACACAAGCAGAAACTCCTCCGTATAATCTAACCTCCGTAATTCACAACACACATACACATTTTTATAACCATTACGTCACTTCATGTTTGATTCACTCATGACTGATCCAATACTTTGTGTAAAATTGCTTTAGTAAATAATTTAGCACATTTCCATTATCCCACTGCATATTTCCTTACCTAACCTGACCTAGCTTAAGTTTGGTTAGGTTAGGTTAATTGAAAGAAACTAATACTTTTAAAACTTTATGAAGGATAATGTTAAAATATCTTTTTTTTTTAGTTTAAACTTAGACTCTTATACCAATATACATCCCAAGAGGTAAATATAACAGAAAGGGCCAATATATTTTTTTTTTTCACTTTACACTTACATATCTACCAGAGTATTCATTACCATAAATTACAAATTAACACGCACGCACACACGCACACACCTACCTCCACCAATCTTCATACATTTCTTATCTGTCCATATTTTATAATTATTTTAGGAGATTTAAATTTTGCTTATATTATGGACTATGAAAAGAAGAATTGTGTAAATATCGTACAATTGTGGACCAAATTCCCCGAACACTCAATAACTGGCATCGTCGTGTACTTAGGGTCATGTTGGTAAGGGGACTGTGATTATAACATCTATTTACTGTATACTCTGATATTTATTTGTACTATAGCGTTTGTTTTTATATCATTCTGCGATAATTTACAAAGGTAGATAAGAATCACCAGGTATATACGACCAATGAGAGTCGAGGGAATTTTGTCCGAAGATGCACGTAGTTATTTTGAATTCAAGATGCGACGCAATGGGAGTTTTCACGGAGACATTTATACACGGTACTTTTACATCCTGAGAGCTATGTAACACAAAAATTAAAGTCAACCGCAAAGTGAAACTGTTAAAAGTAATTACCGTATATTTCTGGTGAAGGAGAAAAATGATCGTGTGTCGATATTTTTACCTCGGAACCAATGATTGAGGGAGTGTGTTCTGGCCTCCTAGTTACTGTGTGTTATAGTGAGGGAGGGAGGGAGGGAGGGCTGGCAAATGTTAAGAGTGAGGGAGGAAAGACTGGCAAAAAAAAAAAAAAAAAAAAAAAAAAAAAAAAAAAAAAAAAAAAAAACTCTTACAAGTGAATTTCCCCTAAACACGAAACTCACTCCACACTGCACACTAGCTCTACAATATATTACCGCTACAACTACCCTACAGACTACTACAGTATACATTAAGCACACCCTAGTGAATACCAACAACTGACAAATTGTTATTATACCTACTGAGGTTTTAAACAATTATATACTGTGCTGCAATATCTTATTACAGTAGCTAGGTTAGGATTCCTGTTTATCATTGGAATTTCTACATCAATTTCCTCGGGCCTCGCTAACAAAAGACTTCCGTAGAACTTAAATTATGAAGCAATGAAGATAGAAAATAATATAATGTTTAGAACTTTGTAAATAATAATGATAATAAACTCCCAGTGGTCAAAGCCTCAGGTCATATGTGAGAAGGGCACCATACAGTGAGACGCTACCAAACATGTGATAAGGACCAAACAGGAAATAATCATATCAAGGCTTCGTCAGCCATCCTCGTTCAAAGTGACTAAATACCAATTCTCAATCACGGCTTGTAAGCAGATAACTGGCGGAAATGATAACTAAAACATTCAGTTAGAGAAGATTATACAAGTACAGTCCATCTCTTCACACCAAACAAACTCCTACAGTAGAGTACAGAGGTATATATCAGCCTTCAAGTGTTCATCTCGGCGGTACAGTACTACACAGAGGCCAGAGGGATGCCTTGATGCTGAGCAGTTGTCAGGTGGTCAGAAGAAACACTGATTATTAGACTCAAAGTATAGCCATGGTTGTATGTCCATGCCTTGATGCCCTCAACTGTATATCTAAAACCCTATGCCCACAACTGTATACACACAACTGTATGCCCACAACCATATGCCTGCAACTGTATGTCCACAACCATATGGCCACAACTGTATATCCACAACAATATGCTCACAACTGTATGCCCATAACTTATACCCACAACTGTATGCCCACAACTGTATACCCACAACTTATGCCAACAAACATATACCCAAGACTGGCTAAATGTCAATAATCAGTAGACTAAGAAAAACCATTAATTTCACAATATAAATTTCTACACAATTCTACATATATCACAGCTACAGGGCCTCAGTGTGTCAGCTGGACCTCCTCTTAACTAACACACTACAGCTACAGCCAGGGTAAGGTTCTAGTCAGCATACAGTAAGTGTGTACAATATTTTACACTCAGGAAGAAATAATAATAAAAGGTAAATTTTTCTACAAGAATTCTGCGCTGGATATTTCTTACCCCTTAAATGATGGCTGTGGATTCCATACTCTGCTCTCATGTGTAAAACTTGAATGTAAGGAACATGAAATGGCCACCATCCCTAGAGCTAACTTCCACTGATGATGGCCACCGTCCTTACAGCTAACTTCCACTGACGATGGCCACAGTCCTTACAGCTAACTTCCACTGATGATGGCCACCGTCCTTACAGCTAACTTCCACTGCTAATGGCTACTGTCCCTACAGCTAACTTCTACTGATGATGACTACAGCTAACCTCCACAACTCTGAAAATGGTAATAAGAGATAACACATACACCGGCATCAATATAACACTAATTCAACACCTCTTTAATAGGAGTTATTTCTTCCCAACCCATTCCCATGAACTGAGTTTCTCCCAATAACAGTACAGGTGTGACTTACTCCCTTCTTACATTTACACAAAAGTTCAAAAATTTAGTCAGTAGTAGTAAATATAACACCCGACGTATGACTGTGGGTACTGATGATAATTCGTAACTATACAGACACAGCTAAGTTAGTATAAAGGTTTAATCATCAAGTGACATAAACTAAGGTTCCGAATCACCATGAGTTCCATACATCCTTGAAAGACCCAATCGACGATATCGCCCATAAACTTGTTAATACTCATTCAATTTGACCACCAATGAGTCGTGGAAAAGAGTAGAATTAAAGATCTGAGTGAGCCAGAACGGGAAACCTTAATCCTCATTGGAAATTTACTTACAAATACAGTACAGTAATGGACAATTACTCGCTACACACTCACTACATTATCGTAATACTTTATAAAAACAAGCCACTGTTGTTTTGTACGTCATCCAGTGTGTGAAAGTGCCCGGTACCCATTACTAGATTATACAATGCCCAAACACTCCCAACTTTCTCCCTATAACCCCCAAACACTCCCTACTTTCTCCCTATAACCCCCAAACACTCCCAACTTTCTCCCTATAACCCCCAAACACTCCCTACTTTCTCCCTATGACAGGAAATATACAACTGCCCCTCTAGTTACAAATGAGCGACATTCCTCGTCCATAAATCATTTAATCATAACTCGAACTGAACTCTGATACTGAACATAATAATAATTAATAAATACACAAATCAATAAAGCCATTCCCCAATAATACAGTACAGGACTCTTATCTTAATACTTTAACACTATTTCAATATAGAGTCAATGGGATATATGGACAGATTTATTACAGTACAGTATCTCTAAAAGTTCACAAGTCTGAATGTCTGTTAGTCGAGGAGCATCAGCGGGGCATAATATCACTCAGGAGGTTTACTGAATGAAGGTGTTAGTATAGTTTAGTTTTATGTATGAAAGGTTACGCCATTAGAACTCATTGAAGTACTGCCGTGAATTACTGTACAGTGTATACCAAAAATTATATCATCTATAATGCTAGGGATTATATCAATGTCATAACACCTATAATGCTATGACTTATACCAAATATTATAACATCTATAATGATGTGAATTATACCAAAATAATAAATACACTGTCAAAACAAAACAGGTAGTCATTCCAAAATTCTGATTGATATATAGTGTCTACAGTGAAATTAAAAATATTTATAAATTTAATATGAAAATTATACACTGTATCTACAACAACTCTGTATAGTATTTCCTTCATAAGTCAAACATTTAAAACACGATGAACTTTCTTTGAAAATTAAAGCCTAACAAAAATATTCTAAATCTCCTTAATAATAATTCAGATGATTAAAATAATATTACCTTTGTTTATATAATGTAATACAAATAGAAAAAATGTAACGACGGCAAATTCAACATAAATAATTTCCTGGCAATGACACACACACACACACACACACCAAGGCTACACGATCAATACAACTTTCAAGGTATCTCATGATGACTAAGAATCCATGTTTATTTCACCTGATGATTAAACACTCAATGCTATATGAGGGAGAGTTAGGTCATGGTTAGGTTATGTTAGGTTATGGTTAGGTTAGGTAAGCATTAGGAAGAATAATCACAGGGAAAATAAACAATGATTCCTACATGAGGTCTCATACAAAACAAACAGCATAAACCACATACTAAATCCTCATGGGACAAAGAACTGCCTCGACTGGCTAACCTCCGTGATACTGAGAGCACTTCCGAGTGAATCACCCGAGCACGTGCGAGTTATATACCTCTGGTGGATATAATTTATAGAATATATTACTCATAACCTCTCTTTTTCTTTCTCTTTCTCTCTTTCTTTCTCTATTTTCTTTCTCTTTCTCTCTTTTTTCTTTCTCTCCCTCTCATTTTCTTTCTCTCTTTTTTTCTTTCTCTCCTTTTCTTTTTCTCTCTCTCTGTTTCTTTCTCTCTGTCTTTTTCTGTCTCTCTCTCTGTCACACACTATAGGAAGATTAAATTTCATCTCTTTTCTTTTTTCTTTCCCAAATGACAACAAATCAATAAAGATGGCCGAGAAATAAACAACCAAAGGAGACTCGTTCTATTACTCCACCATCTTCCTTTAAATTATTGTTCCCTTGGCGAATAAATGAAAAACAAAAGAAGGTCAATATTCCCACGATGCACGAACTCCGAGACGCACTGTAAGGTTTTCTACACGTTCGCTAAATTACGAATACTGTACGTGCGACTCGAGCTTTTCCCGGGGTACAGAAACCTAATTAGTGGAGAGTCAGTAACATGTGAAGGATTATTTATTTACGATTCTCATATGAAAATACAAAATAAAATAGCCAAGGTTAGGTTAAGTTTGGATAAGGTTGGGTTAGGTTAAGTTAGGATAAGGTTTGGTTAGGTTAAGTTTGGATAAGGTTTGGTTAGGTTAAGTTAGGATAAGGTTTGGTTAGATTATGACAAACAGACAAGAGCTTGGAGACATTATTTCAGTTTCCTTATGAGATATTCAATAAATATGTTCACATGTTTAGTGTAAATTAAGACCTAAACACGCAACACGACAAACAAAACACTCTATCCTAAATATCGGACAATGTTTACCTAAGTAAATCACTCTTTTTAATAAGTAGTAAATCACTCTTCCAATAGCTAGCATTAAATAGCTCTCCTATATAAATCAATCCACAATGGTACAATACGTACTAGGATACTGCCTACCTAAATTAGTTCTAAATGCCAAAATAGTGCTGAGGTTACCCCTAGTGTAGTCTAGTAGTATAGCCGAGGTAACCCCTAGACTGAGATGTGTATCCTGTCTACGTTTATTTTATTGCTATCTGCGAGAACACTACTACCTATACCCCACACTAGGCAGACAATCAACATGAGAGGTGGTCGACTTCCAATTTAACGGTTTAACAATTCCCGTTCAGTTTTTAGAAAGACGTTGGCGATGCCTCGGAACTTTTTTGAGAATGGGGTTATGAGCAGAATGGACAACCCAAATCGTTATGTACTCCTCGCCGCGCTCACTACCGAACCACCGACCAGCAAGTGTGGCTTTTTTGTGCTTTACTAATCATAAAATCTTCAGCTCAAGCTTAGGCATCACAAAGCTTGACCACCACGAGTTAAGCCGAATGGACGTAAATGGTGTACTAGAATATTTGTTCATTTATCTGTGTCTAAACATCGTGAGTCAACATCAATAAACATTCCTGCAAAAATGACCAATTCTCTCACACTCTTGGAATGTTATAGAATGTTCATAGTCATCATTTCTGGTACAATATTCAACAATTTGCTAAAAGTATTTGAATAATATCAGAAAACGTGCTTTGTACATCTGATAATGAAACTATTGAGGTGATATAAAGATAACACAGGGAGCTGAACTGGGCCCCTATGTTGAGAGTTAGTTATAAGTTAGTACAGTACTATTGGTACATCTGTGGGCCGGTGTGACTACAAATATAAAACATAACATAAATTACAATATCTATCTTACCATTTATATTCACATTAAATTTATTATATCAAAATTCCTCACATTCTATCACTATTGGAGAGGTTATTCCAATGACAGCAGTACAGTACAGCCTTCACTTTCAATACCCAAACTTAATGCTGATCCTGTGTTAACGTTACTGAACCTACCTTAACTTTGGTAGGCTTGGGTTAACTCAAATGATCCCGTGTTAACTTTGGTGATTGTGTTAACTTTAAGTGCATTTTGTTAACACTATCACACCCCCACAAGATTGAGGCAGCCTCTTGAGTTTCAGTTGTGTTGCTTTCAATCTTTTTTTTTGCAGGAACTGAAAACCACAACAGCTGGTACCTCATCCCCCCCCCCTCAGCCGGCAACTCATCCCCCTCAACTGGCACCTCACCCCTCATCAGCTGGAACCTCATCCCCCCTCAGCCGGTAACTTACCGCTCCCCCTCATCCTCGTCCTTTTTAAGGTTCGTCTCCCGACTCTCTGCTGGAGCACTCATGTCGGGAATGGCTGCTGCCTCTTTCTCATCAATTTCCTCAAACGACGAACCAGTGTTGGCATCGCTCTCCTCCCCACCCAGAGATGCTGACTCAGCAGTGTCAGCCACATCAGCAGTAGCTTCAGTAGGGTCAGCAGTGTCAGCAGGTGGTGGTGGAGGTGGTGGTAGAGCAGCTGGGGTCTCAACAACCTCATCTGTTTCATCCAAAAAATCAAGACACATAATCAGTTTACATCTTACACCAAACTATAGAACTATCCAACATAACGACATAATTCTGGTCACACACGGTAACTAACACGATTAAAGAACCTTACTAATATAGCCACAATGTTCAAAACACATATAACAACTCTACTGCTCTTAAATATGTCTTATCACCTGTGGCATTTTAACTCTTATTTCAAACATGACTTCAGAGCCCCACCATTTATATACATTAGAAATACCCGTACATATACGCAAATACCACACTGTTAGCTTAGCATTTTTACCAAGATACCAAATATACTACTCAAATAATACTTTTAATTTAATACACCTTTACACACATACTGTACAAATACTTAACACACTACAGTACTATACAATGTTGTTTCTCTTAAATCACACAAACTGTATATTCGCTCTAAATGCTTTCAGAAGGACCTTTGTGGGTAAAACAGGACTGTGATCCACTGTAATGAGGTGATGAGTCAATATATATATGGTACTAATTGGAAGAAACATCTAAGTCTCTGTGATAAGTTAGCCTCATACTCAAGTAATATACATCACACCTGACTAATAAACCTCTGAGACACAGGGAGGCAATATGGCCGGCACTGCACTTGATTGACCTCACTTTCCCCAACTGTAAAATTAGGTTACCATTCACAGCTGGTTGGACTGGGGGAAGTGACCATAAAATCACTGGATGGTTCTGATGATGCTGTGTCTGTGAGTCATGTCATAAACCATAGATGATATGATTGCACCTTACACATGCATACAGCCTCCATACACAGGGTGTGTAAAATAAAATGCTTTAACACACTGCCTTACAGATTTTCCAAGATTGATGCCATTGTGGTGAATTATATACACATATTAAGACCAATTTTATCATATATAGTACAGTAAAAAGACCTTCCCATGTTACACACAGCTTAACTAGCAAGACCATGCATACTTAAACTAATACCTGGGCTTTTTGTTGAGTGTTACTGAGGTGTGTAGTGATTATGGTGTGGGTAAGGAAAGAGTGACACAGCAACCAGCAGATGCTATGCAGAAGCGCTTTGGTTACACAAAACTGCCGTAAATATAACCCATCCAACTTGCACTCAGCAGTATGTTACTAAACTCACCTCACAGCTGATCCCAGAACATCTTGGCCTAAGAAGCAGTTACTATAAATATCATGGAACTAAACACTTGGAATTGGATTAAGTTAATGAGTAAAATTGGCAAGGAAAGAAATTAGAGAGACTTTATGTTGAGGTAGCTGGTATGGTCAAGACGTGAGGGAGGTCTATATTTAATTTTTTTCGTTGGTTTGTGCGGTGATGGAGACAACACTGAGACCTTCCTGCCGTGGAGGTGATGACAATCTGAGTGACTGGGAATATTTTCTTCAATGGGCTTGTAAATTATAATAAAGACAATGTAAGAAAAGGATTTTTTGTTTCTGGTGTGTTTATGTAGTGAAGAAAACAACTTAAGTAACTGTAAATGTTTCTTCAGTGGGATTATGAGGTAACTGAGATACTGTGAGTTTATTTCTAGTGGGCTTGTGGGGTGAGGAACAAAGTGTAATTGACCACCAGTGTCGTGAGAGTGGGGTGTGAAGGGTAACTAACCTGGCTGTGAAGGGATAGGTAGTGAAGGGGGTGTGGATGATTCAGTTGGTGCTTCACAAGGAGGTGGTGGGTAACTGCAACTGTCATCACCCACACTTTCTGAACACTCAGAATCATTCAGCTCACCGCCTGTTTTAATTATTCCATGGGAAAAAAAATGGAGAGAGAGATCAACGACCAATAACCAGAAGAAGCGTTCGGTCAAGGCAATTTGGTCAGTAAGCACATTATTGACAGCATAAGTACAAGCAAACTGCAAAATACCCGTCAAGCTAAAAAATGACAATGCAAATACAAGGTACCTGTACTTCAAATACAAATTATAGTGAAATACAGTAATTTTTGTAGTATTTCATCACAGTATTTGTCTAATAAACAATGCATTATCATTCCTTTAACAAGATTTGCTTCCCTGCTTTACCCTGCTTGAACATTAAGACCTAAATAAGGTTTGTAGTGCCTCCGCATGCAGGAAAGTTGACAGATTTATGCAAGAATTAAAATGCTGATTCTGTACACAACCTCAGCCCAGATTTTGAAAGATTTACTTGATAAATATGTAGTTGAAGAATGTCTCGGAAGTGTTGATTATGGTGAGGTGAAATGGGGGAGGTGAGGGAGACAAATGAGGGAGGTGAAGGAGACAAATGGGGGAGGTGAGGGAGACAAATGAGGGAGGTGAGGGAGACAAATGGGGGATGTGGAAGGTGAAATGAGGGAGGTGGGAGACAGCTGGCATGAGGGAGAAAAGAGAGAGATGAGGGAGGTAGGAGGTAAAATGAGGGACCTGGCAGAGAGAGACATAATGGAGGTGGAAGCAAGATGTGGGAGAAACAATCACTAATACTATACAAACACAGTAATCCAAGGAACAGAGGAGAAAAATACTTATATAAACACTGTATATTTAAAAGGGTACTTAGTATTATGTAAATGAGAGGGAGAGATTGTTCACACACACACACACACCATATATTTCTCACAAGTAATAAACCTCAGCTAAGTGAACCACATTACCCTACTATCAGTTATCATACAGTTAAGATCCAGTTGATATATCACCTCTGACTGGATAAATAGGATGAGCAGGGGCAGTTGCAGGGGGGGGGGGTATTTAATGCATCACTTTTTGTATAGTAAAAAGTATGTACTATTGACCTCAGAATATCTCCTAATATCAAGTGAACATGGTATCAAAATGGCCTCAAAATGCCCATGATATTGGTCACATTTAAAAAAAATTTATGGGGGCCAAAAAACCCGCAGCTGGGTGAGTTCGCTGTGCTCACCATGTTTCCCCCCCTCCCCCCCGGCCTTTGATCTCCTCTTGGTGGGGGATAAGTCGCTGTATCATGAAGAATTATTTCACTACAGTATATGATTACACTGATTTTAATAAGCCTGGTGTAGCAGTGAGTCAATTTTCTACTAAACCACAAGCTGGTCAACTGACTACTACACCCAACCTCATAATACCAGTGTTAACACGTACAAAAATAATTCTTCTTACTAAAGCAACTTATGACACACCCTGTACTGTATACCAATACACACTACACATTACTCAGAATTTCTATACATGCCAACTCATTTTATACATTCAGATATTTTCTAATCAGTCAGTACAATTTCACAAACTGTACACACAATACCATAACTTTTAAAAGGGGTAAAAATATCCATACAAACAGGAAATCAATAACTACTGAAAGCAAAAAAATACAAGAAGCACTTAAATAAAACAAGAAAATAAACACCAATTCAAAACGTATTTATCTCATACACGTCAACACTCAACAGTTCCTTTATCAATATCCCGTTGGTCGACTCAGCTGTGGGGGTTATGAGTAAGTGAGAGCCCACTGCTTACCTCTTATGAACGAGGCTGACTCGTCCCACGAACGACTGGAGTTCTCTGTGCGGTCATCGTCCTCGTAGTCATCCTTGGAAGAGATCGTAGACCTTAAATCACCTTGTTTAGATAATTACCAAGGTGCTGACTAACTATGGGTGGCTTTTGTTAATGACAATATGGCGAGAATACGAATGTTTATCGATGACGTCAGCTCTATGTCCTAATGAGTGGCTCAATATATACAAAAACTGCCCCACTCTAACCAAAAAGATCCTAAACTGTCTAAATTTAACCTAACCAAGTCATAATGTCAATGTAACCAAACTTAAACTAACCAGATTTAATTTAACCAAACTTAACCTCACCTAACCTAATCAAAGTGATCTTAAACTGTCTAAACTTCATCTAAGCAAGTCCTAATGCTAACCAAACCAAACTTAACTGAATCTAACTAAGTCCTAATACTAATCTAACCAAACTTAACCTAACCAAGTCTTAATTTAACCTAACCCAATTTCCCATAAGGGTGTAAAAACCATCAAGAGAAATAAATAGCAACCCAAATCCCCAATAGACCCCATAACAGTGATGCTCATTTGTTTTAATAGAGTCGTGAATAAACAAGAGTTACCCGGTGGTCATCGTCTTCCTCCTGCTGGACCTCTGGCACGTAGAAGTCGTCCTGGCGAGCGAGCGGACCCACGAAGAGAATCTCAGTCTTCTTGCTGTCGTACACCTCAAGGAATGGATGGGCACACAAGCTACGAGTCTCTGTTGGCAGGACGTGGAAAGGAATTATAATACACTGAACCTACGTGGAAAGGAATTATAATACACTGAACCTAATACAGATACCATCGCTTATATTCATCGTACTTAGCATAATATATTTAGCGTCAAATCAATATATTTAGTTTATATACATTAGTGTAATAAATTCAGCGAACTATACACACCGACATATTCTCGCAGGGCAGGATAAACCTTCATGATGGCAACAATGATAGAGATGGTGCTGTTGTAGGGAAAAGAGGCCTGGACTGCATGATCGATGGCTGGGAAGGTGGTGAACTGATAGCCGTGTTCCTCCAGTAAGTTGCGGTGCTCCGGTACAACGGGGCTGCCATTCTCAGACAGGACGACGCCCACGATGTAACGCAGCTTGTGTGACTGTTTCTGTATAGTGGGGAATTAAATACAGTATTGTGATGATTATATTCCAAGTATAGTATAGCTCATTCATATATCACTACGTACTATATACCATAAGCATTAATAAAGATCAAACGTTATTAATATATCGACGAATGTACGACCAAGAGAAATAAACACTCATACCATCTTGGGATCGTCATAATAGACCCCAATGGTACGGTAGTCGGGGAGGAGAGTGTGGACTTGAGTAAACAGCGTCCCGGACTCTTTGTAAGGACCGCGGGCAAACTTGTAGGCGATGTAGACTTCCCCCAAGTCTGGCCTATGAGGGAAATGGTTAAATAGCGTCGACTTTATGCAGTAGTTAATATAACATCTGAATCAAATGCTTAACTTTATTACAGAAATTTGTTTTACTTTTCTCGCTAAAAAATTAATCACTGTAAATAGATAGATAGATAGATACTGTAGATGGATATTGTAGATAGATAGATAGACTGTAAATAGACAGATAGATAGACTGTAAATAGACAGATAGACAGATCCAGCCATCCATCTGTCCACCATCACTCACTTGCAAGTCTTCACGTCGACAGGGATGAACAGACCAGAGTGGACCAACAGACCAACAACAGTCGCCACAGCCAACAGCATCAAAAGGAGAAAACCCCACAGTAACGCTACCTCCGTCTCCATCCTGGTGTTATGGGGTGCTTTAGTGCGTTCTGAGTGTGTTAAAAGGGTCCAAGGGGCGTTTCTGGTTCTTGTGGTGACTTGAGTGTGTTATTGAGTCCTGGTATTCTGATTGCATTAATGGGTCCTGAGTGTGTTAGCGTATCCAATGTGGGGGTTCCTGAGTGTGTTTGTGGGCTCCGAGTGCGTTACCGAGTCCTGGAGTTCTGGGTGCGTTGTTGGGTGCAATAGAATTCTGGGAACGTTAGTACTTCCTGGGTGTTTGTAGTTTTAAAAGATTCCTGGGTGCGTTAGAGAGGTTCCAATACGTCCTGGGTGCGTTAGAGAGGTTCCAATACGTCCTGGGTGCGTTAGGGGGTCCAAGGCTTCTCCCTGAGGTGCGTCCTGGAAGCCACCTCAGCCTTATTGTGTCTCGTTCTTCTCTCTTGTTACTTTCACAGGTATGAGGGACTTCTGTTGATTATTGCAAAGTGGCAGGTTGAGGTGTGAGTCAGTTGAGTGCAGTTATTGAGTGCGTTGGTTGCGTGAGTGCCTCCAGGTGCGTGACTGCAATGTTGTTGTCCAGCTCCTCCTGAACGCCGAAAACCTTAATATTCTCACTCGATTCATGAATATCACCTGAAATAAATTTTAAATAACCTTAATATTTATATTTTATGAAGATATTTAAACATAGATGTAATATAGAGTTTAAATTTTATTATTTCATGAAGAAATAGTTAGTCATTCATATTTAACCAAAATATTAACTCAACTTCAGCCAATAGTTTTAAAGTTCATATTTGCTATAAATATTGCTTGTATATTGGTATATTGATATATTGCCGTTATATTAAACCATTTTCTTAAATAATATTGTAGTTTCTTTAATAAAGTAATGTCAGTAAGGTTTAACAAGGATTATTGTTATAGCTGGTGGTGTGGGTGTTGTTTACGGTGTTCAGGAGGACTCTTGTTGTCTCTTATCAGCTGACTCTTCACCACAGGACACAAAGTCAGGAAACTTGTGTCGTTTATATCATTAAAATTCTATGTAAAGTGTTCTTCGTCAATGTTGTTTTTCATATTTGATCTTTAACTCACTTTTTTTTTTAATAAATATCAATATTTATTTCAGTATATAGTTGAAACTTAATGTAATTGTATTTCCACACGAGAGGTCGCTACAGTATCATTTGATTTAAGAATATATTTAATTATGTATTTTAAAATCTAAAAAAAATATAAGAATATAGTATTGATATTAATTTAATAGTTATAGGAATTTACATTAAGTGATAATAAAGATAAGGAAAATATTAAGTAACTATTCCTAATGACTGCAGGGCGTCCGTGTGTGGCAGATGAAGGCAGAACAACACAATGATGCTGTTAATTAATATTCAACGATTGTCAGGTGATTGAGACATTGGTTAATACTTAAGATTTCTGAATGGTTGGTTGAATATATTGTGTGGTGGAGACTGCTGCCTCGCCTTACTTGTATTAAAACTTATCTTCGTATTTTTAATCTATAAACGTTGTCTCTTGATGTAAAGAGAGTGTAGATGTTAATAAAGACTTAAATTAAGTTGTACTGTACAGCCATTGGGTTCATAATCGTATAAAAATAAATACAAATATATCCAGACGATTTGGTAATACATTAGCTATGTACAACCATCTCATTCGGGGATTTTGGCATCTGCAATCTATAGATCTAATAATTCTTTAACTCTTTTCTTCTATGACACTTACCTTGTGAATATCAAATAAAGGAGATATTGGATGTGTTTTATTCTCTTGTTATTATATCGGGAGCACCTGTCACCTGCTCACCCTTTGTACAACCGACTCACTCTATCCAAGCGTACACTCGCGTCCACAAAAAACGTAACATTACACCATGACACTTCAACAAAGTTACTATTATTTGTACCGGATATCAAAATAAGTACCGTGACGGAAGTGTTTACAATGAAAGTTAGTCAGAATGATGACCTATATCTGCTGCACGTGTCAAAACTCCCAGACTCCATAGTTGTGTGAAACGAAAACTTTCCCAACGATTTTATTCTTGGAGAAAAATAACTCGCGTTGTGGTTTATATTTCAGAGTAGTTAGGTAAAGCTGGATACACCAAACATGCTGACCATCAACCTGTACGGGGGGTCACCGGCCCTCATCCTCCCCCAAGACTCGGACGAGACCTTGGAGGATGTCGTCGTCGCTGCCGCTCGGGTCATGCAGATCGGTCCTCTCTGTCGACACCTGTTCGGTCTCCGCAACACCGCCAATGCTCTCTGGATCGGACTGTCTAGGAAGATCTCGACTCTCCCCGAGAACAGCGCCTTGCAGTTCCGACTCCGGTTTAGAGCGTCGTCCCTCAACAGACTCAAGACGTTGGATCCCAGTGCTTTTGAATATTTCTTCCATCAAGTAAGAGTCTCTAATATAACAACTATTATTACTTTACACACATTGTTTGGTTCATGTTCCTCCCAGCTTATTTCACCTGATGATTAATAAAACCTAAACATTACCTGGGGGTTAGGTTAAGTCAAAGTATTTAATATCTGGTGAAATAAACTGAGGTGCATAATTTAAAGGAAGTTGGTGATGTGGTGACAAGTATTTTTCCCAAATGCATACATTATAAACTATGTGAATGATAATAATTACCTGACAGCTTAGTCATTTAGTGGTAACTGACCGAACTATCTATTTAAATATAATAATCAATCAATTAATCTTCATTTGGTAATCAGGTACGAGCGGATTTCCTGGCGAGTGAAATTTCAGAGCTGATCAAAAATCCTGAAGATGGTCTGGGCCTCGTGGTGACAGACATCCTCCTCTCGTTGCTGAATAACCCAGGTGGTACAACGCGGCTTCCTTCATTAAGTTGAAACAATCCCCTAACAACTCTACTTTAGGTCCAATCACCCACAAAGTCTGATCGCCTCTCCTCTTGAACCACCAACCCTGAGATTCAGACTCGTGAATCCGAAGCATTTATGGACAGATTGACGCATCAGCCTACTGCTTCGGGTTCATGAATCTGAATTTTGGGGTTCATGGAGCAGCGGGAGAGACGACAGGACTTAAGTGGATGACAGTACCTACATTGTTTGCCTCTGCCACTGTCACCATGTTCTATGTGTTTGATTAAATTGTCTAAAACACCTAAACCAACACTATAATTGGCTATAATGACACTCTGGTTCAATAATCTCTAATGTAACTTCATGTTTACCTAAAATGGATGGATTTAGGTGTGGCTGAGGGAATAAATCAGGCTAGAGAACCAAATTCATGACTATGTTTCTGAGTCACATGATCCAGAGAGGAATTTGCCTGGTGAGTGGTGACCCTGCTAGCATGTGTGATTTGTGAAGCAGAACTGGTATATTTGAGGTCTTATTTCTGCTAAATGGTGATATGTTTGGATCAATAACTTTTATTATATAGTATAGCATTTTCTCTATATAGGACTCTAATCATTACTTCAACACTTTAGGTAAATGACTGGAATAGGATTAGATGTTTCAGAGTAAAAAATTAAGGTATTGACTAAGAAATCAAACTTTAGTTATTTCCATGGATCATTATTGTGTTGGTGGTCCTTCAGGGAAGAAAGTGGGGGACATAGACCTCAAGAGTTTCATGCCAAAGGAACTCAACGGTATGGCCAACAGACTAAACGTGAAGAGAAACGCCGAGAAGCTGGTCGAAGCCTGCCAGAAGAAGGACGCCGGCTACGTGCGCGAACGTTACCTCTGCAAAGTGAGTCTTGTAGTGTAGTGTGTGAAGTGTGATGGTATTAAGTTAAACAGGAATAGGTTGGTTGGATAGATATCATAACCTAACCTAACTTCATAGCCTTATGTTGATGACACAGTAAGCATTCTCGGTTAAACCTTTATAAATATATACAGTGCATATAATTTTCTGTAATCTTTTAAATATATCAAGACTGTAATGCTTTTAATCAACACCCTGTAATTTCTAATATCCTTCACCATTCTCATTTCTATGGCTTAAGGCAAATTCATAACATCTCTTGTACCAATCTGAAACACTTCCTGCCTCTTGAATATTTTATCATTGGGTTTTAGGCTAATGATCAGGTTGGCACAGGACTGAGACTCTACCTTAACTAGATATGTTCCCTTAAAACCAATTTAAACCTTAATTCCTATAATACTAAATGGTTTCTTATATCTTTTAACACTGTACATCTCTCTGACTATGTGCAGTGGAACCTTCATATAAAGGACTTCTCTCTTCATATAATTCTTTAGATGGAGGTCTCACGTCTAATGGGCTCTGGATATAACAGACTCTCATCTCTATATCATTCATTAGATAGAGGTTTTACATCTAACGGACCCTTAACATAATGGACTTCCCTCTCCTTATTGTCCGTTAAATAAAGGTTTCACTCTATTATTACTTCTATTAATATTTCTGTCGTTGCGTTGATATATTTTTTTAGAAACGGGAGGAATTTATGACTTAATCTCCCACAGGTTGAGGAGAGTCAGTGCAAGTATTGTACTGAAGAATATATCCTGCAGAGAGATGAAGGTGGTACAGTCTTCCACATTAAGCTGAGTGTTGACCCTTACCATGCTGACCAGCCGGGCCTTCGCTACTGCTACGCTGCACAGAAGAAAGGAGTGAGTTTGTCTGTATGATGATCTTCTTCCATAACCCTTAAGGTGGTGATCCATAGAGACTAAGATTGCTTATGGTCTTGTTCTTGGCCTGGTGTGTGTGTGTGTGTTGGTCTTGATTCCAGTCTCAAGTGCCATGTGAAATAAGACTCGTTAGACTGGGAGGAAAAATAAACTTAACTCGGAGAATTACAAATATAAAGTTTCTAGAATTTTTTTATTTATCTGTTTTTTGTTGTTGCAGGCGTGGACTCATCTCTGCCGCCTGGATGAGTTGGTATTCGTATCAACTCACTCCCGGGATCTGACAGTGGAGGTGTCCAGAAAGACCGGAGTACCCTGCTACTTCAAGCTTCAGACGATCGACGAATTGGAGTCATTCATTGGCTGCCTGAGTGGGCACGTACTGTACTCTCCTCATTGACCTCACCCTAGGCCTCGTTACATTCTGTCGTCCCTATCGTCTCTCACCTTCGTTTCTGCCATTTTTCTTCGCACTTTTGTTCCGTCAATTGTCAAAGTCCTCCATCTTGTTTCCTTACTCTCACTCAAGTTCTCATATTTGGATTTTTTTTATACAGTCGCTCAAAAAATTATCGTACCAAATTTTGACACAACGGACGAAGGATATTGACGACCCTCCCGAGATAACAGAGGTCACAGTGTTCATTCTGGAATTCATCGACCCTGGCCCCCACCACAGTGACTATTTCCTTATCTAACTTGTCTTTCCTTTTTATTGTCTTAAACCTTTTACACCAATTGTCACACTTTAGGATTACAGGTATAATCTGGCTGCCACTAGATGATGTTACTTAGCTTAGGTAAACTTACAGTAATGAAACAGTTCAAACAGAAGCTATGAGTTAAAAGAATAAAAGATATTCTTCTGTTATTTAGACATGTGTTGTGCTTGATGTTGTCCAGAGACTAAATTGTCATTCAAATTTCTGGATCACTAAATATTTGTCTCCTCCAGCTTATTTCACCTGAAGATTAACCACCCTGATACTACATGGGAGAGGTTAAGTTAGGTTGAGTTGGGTGGGTTAGCTTAGTGTTGGTTATCTATGTTTTCCGGCCATTTTCCACCATAATTAAAATGTTTTCTCTCTGCGTCCAGGTACTATCGGTTGATTTCTACCTGGACGTTTGACCTGTGCCGGGAACTGTCCACGCCCTCCCTTGTCTTCCTGCGCAGAAACAAGTGCCATGGACCTGTGGGGTAAGCTTTGAAGGTAACGTTTATTTATAGTGACTCGGACCCTAAACGAGGTGGGTAAGTCGGGCTACACTGTGGAGGGTCTGTCTAGTGCTGTAACGGGGTGACACGATGATAAATGCTCTCGTTATCAATCTACTTTTTCTCACAAGTGATCACCATCTAGTTGGTTTTACCGATGTGCTGTATCTGTTTGCGTCTTACAGGAGTACATTTTCTGCCAAGAAGCTTAAGGAGAAGGGAGGAGGTGACACAGGTGTGGGCTTACTGAGGGAGTCCTCCACAGAGTACGACACCTACTATTTAGACGTCGTCACAGATGTCAACAAGCCGCCAGTCTCACACACCATTCTTAAAGAAGGCAACAAAGTTAGTACTGGATGTCTTAAGATATATATCATACTGTACACCATTATGAGGTTTAGTTGATTGCCTCGTTAACGAACTCTGCATAGTTTGGTATCCTGAGTAACTGTCGGTCATGAAATTTGATTGTTCAGTGAGTCACGGCCACAATCAACTGTTTTGCAGACTCTTGCCAACTAGAACCCATTTTGTGATGCCATTGAAGAGATTTTTGGCGATATGTAAATTTATTAAGTAGGTAACTGCCAGGAAGACTGCCTTAATTCTGTGAATAATGTTAAAGATTTTCAACATGTTAATTGTAAGTTTAATCCCATGATGAGGCCGGTTGAGGGAGGCACAGTTAAGCCATCTCACAACAACAGACACGTCTATGAGAGACTATAGCTGTTCTGGAAGTTTGGATGGGAGATTAAGAACCTGAATTGTTGTCTAAGTTAGAATGAGTAGTTTTTTTTACTTTAATTCTTAATTACTAGTTAATGATCCCCCCCACCACCATGTGCATGAAATAAGAGGACAGGTGACAAATTTAGCTTCTGTAGATGATGGCCACCATCCTTACAGCTAACTTCCATAGATGATGACCACCATGTAAGGGTTTAAGGAAATTTAATTTGAATACCGTCTAAATTAAATTATCACAAAAGTTACAAAAAAAATGGCAAAGTTAGTAATATCTTGATTAAATGACAGAGATAATGAGTTCCAGAGGCTTGGTTATATTTACTTCTTGTGTGTGAGAATTTATGACCAGAATGCCCATGTGTTAATAAATCTCTACCAACATTACGTCATTTATATTTCAGTTCCACCTGAAGGACTCGGACATAATCTATGACAGTCTATCTAGTATGGTGAAAGAATTTATCAAGTCGGATAATCCTCCAATTAAACTAGTGCGGATATTACCGTCCTCTGACTACGATGACTCAGAGCTGCTGCTTCTCTGTGCCAGCCGAGACAGACAGGTTGAGAGTGGTAACCATACAGGTCCCAGGGTGAGTTGTAACCGTATATTATTGCTTTATTGACCTAAATGTATAAGAAGTGTTTAATTGTTTTAGTCTCTCTCTCTCTCTCTCACACACACTCACTCTCCCTCCCTGGCAGGTGATCAGTATGAAGCACTTAACGTCTGTGGAGGAAAACATCGTCCGGGGCCGATACTCTGATCTGGTCCGAGCCAAGTGGACCATCCAGGGTAACAAGGAAGTTGCTGTGAAGGTTAGATGTATTTGGGGATGTTATTTTTTTTAATTTTATGACGCTAAGTAAAGGATCTGCCTAGAAATAAGCATCTGAGAGCTTTGCCGGCTATCCTTGGTCAAATTGCCTTACTATTTACTATTGTTGTATACCTGCACTATCTCGGTATATAAAAAACTGTATATACTCCTATGGTTTATATATACCCAAGATTAATTTTATTACAAGTCTCTTTACTCTTCTCAGATGCCAAAACTGACCAAACTCGGCGACACAGAACGTTTCCTGGCTGTGCTCAACGAATTCTCCTTTGTGAATTGTGAGTGTATCGTGGAGGTGCAGGGGGTGACTCTCAGCCCCTTGTCCCTGGTGATGGAGTACCTACCAATGGGTCCCCTGGATAAATACCTACAGACCCATAAGAATGTGATGAAGGAGGTAAATTGGAATGCATTTTTGAGTTAATGGAAAAGAATGTTGAGTGTTGTAGGAATGATAATTTTTTCCAAGTATGAATGTGAAGGTTTGTTTGATCATTTGACACTACTACTAATAATAAAGATGATAATAGGAATAATAATAATAAAGATAGTAATAATATAGAGGTTAACCATATATTTAAGATGGTCAGGGGCAGTGAATATTAATTAATATTTTATCAACGTACAGTATATACAGGTATCCCTCATATAGTGCAGTTAGTGAGTTCTTTAAAAATAATATATTACGGTAAGTCCTCATGCAATAAATAGTTACTGAAATATGTGTTATAAAGGAAGAATTATTCCTGAACATAAATATTTTAGACAGAAGCTTTAGAAATGATTTTTATGGTATTAATTAGATAGAGACATTGAATGAGTAACATCAATCATATGATCACCGTGGAAAATGACTTAAAATTTTGCTGTTGATGAGGTGTGGCCGAGTGAATAAGCTGGTGTGTTGTAGCAGTACCTTATATCACCGTAACACCTGTAGTAAAGCTCCTCATGAGAGACGTGGCCGGGGAACACGAGTCACTAGTCCTCCGCTACGTAAATGGCTGGCTATCGGGCGTCAGTCCCCCTCACATCTTCATCAGACTTTGTGCCGCAGGTGGAGCTGGTGGAAGCGGCGACCTACCTGGCCCGGGCACTGTGGTACCTCAACGTTGAAGGCATCTGTCACAACAACATCCGCTGCCATAATATATTTGTCATCGAACACACTGACCAAACATTCAAGGTGAGGAACCACAACTGTCTTCTATGGTAAAATAATGAGCAGTAATAGAAGGTGAAGGGGAGACTTGTTTATAAAATGTCACACTGTATAAAGTTGTGATTTAATTCTTCAAACAAGTCACTCGGCATCATGCACTCAATTTTTCAATGAAGTGACTCACCTTGATGCACTCGCAGGTGAAGCTCGGTGACCCGGGCTTGGTGAGGTACGACCAACGTGACTTACACTGGATCCCACGCGAGCACCACTTCCAGCCTCCTCTGGCCCTCGCTGACACCACTACTGACATCTGGGCATTCAGTACGACTGTCTGGCAGATATTCTCGATGGGGGAGATTCCATTACCAGGTAGCTACAGAAAGAATTGGAATATGTGATGTATTTATCTCTATATAATCAATAATATTTCAGTGTGATTAAGTGTTCAAGAGAGACTTTTCAAAACACTTACTTCACTCAACTGTATCACCAAAGTCATTCTAAGTGCCTAATATGACACTTTAAATCTAACTAGATTCATTTTAAGTCCCTGACAATTATGAGGTCATGAATCCTCCCTTAAACTGGCTTTGAAATCTAATTGACTGACCTGACCTCAGAGTATCATGTACCAAATTAACCAAATCCTGTTAGGGTATTAATACTTATTATGCTCTGCTGTGATTGTGAAATGAGAAATACAAAGTGATATTCTTGTCTGTCAGAAGAAGAAACAATTGTTGTTTAATAATCTAATCTGAAATGGGTTAAAGGGTTGAAGGCCAGCAGGGGGCTCAACACATTCTGAGTTCAATGGTAAGATCCACACTACTTTGGTGGAGGAATAGTGAAACTCATGAAGGTTTCTGTGAACAGGTGCGGATATGGAGGAAGTTCGCAAGCTGTATGCCACCGGTCGCCTGCTGCCTCGACCTGATCCATGCCCCCAGGACCTGTATAAGGTTTGTTATCATTACCAACATTTATCAGTTTACTAGCCATTTGGGCAGTCAAGTTGTTCTTTGGTGTGACCGTCATTGTCCATTGTTAGTACAGGAGGGTACTGGAATACCACCTGAAGTAGACCTGCTGGGGATCGAATATGGGACACATTGGCGAGAGACAAGCACTTCACCACCAACATGTACCGATTGTCTCTTATTTTCTGTGTGATATGTTGAAGGGAAAGCTCAGATCCCACATGAACAATGGAACCAAAATACAGGTACTGTGGCAAATATGTAACTATGATTTTAAAAGATGATTCTCAGTGTCTCTTAAGATAGTGTATAATACTGTATTGGAGAGGTGATTGTTTCATGAATGATTTATTAATTACAGTTCTACATTGAATTAGTATGCAAAGAACTTGAAAGATATCTTGTGAAAATGTTCCATGTGTTGTTAAGACCCACAGTATCACTAAATAAGAGGCAAAGTCTGGTAGTATTTATCCTGTAGGTCTCTACACTCAATGTTTCTTACATCTTAGGTATAGACATTCATGCGAGGGGTCTCTCTATGCTGAATAAAATCATCCGGTGTCATCCAAATGGAATATTAAAAGTGGCATCCAGTAATGAAGGGGTTAAGAGCTGCTGTTCAGGGGTGGAGTGAAGAGTTGTATGTCTTCTGTAGTTCCTGGAGTTCTGTGTTACCTCATGTTTGTATTTTTTATTTTTATCGCTGTTCTCAGGTGATGTTGCGGTGTTGGTCGCCAGATCCACAGGCCAGACGTCAGCCCCAGGCCATCATGCGAGATGTGAACCAGATTCTCTACCAAGGTGAGCGAGTCACTGTATGCTTCTTCTATCATCATCATCATCATCATTAATCTTATTGTCATCATTATTATTTTCCAGCCATCCTCCATGTTTGTGCAGGTTGTATAATAAATCACCACTTGTAGTTTGTGAGAAAGTATCGTGATTTAACCATATGAATGTATCAAGTGACATGGGAAATGTACTCAGAGTTACATGTGGAAGAGAAAAACAACAAACTTATTTAATTTTGCCACAGTATTCAACTCCCGGAAGAACCACGCCTACCAGACCATTTTACCGGCCAATCCCCTCGAGACAGACGCCACAGAAGAACAGAATGGAGAAGTACATGCTGAGGATGAAGAAAATGCCTCAGTTACCACCCAGCTGACCACCCTGACGTACGCTGATGGTTCGGTGGCGCAGGTGAGACGCTCTTAATGTGTTAGTTTTGACTGGGGAAGGAATCGTGTGTTTAGACTCGGCGATATGGAACAGAGATGTAGCGAAGGGTGATAACACAACCGAGATCTTCTGTAATTCTAGGCTTTATTGATCACCTGAACATTAGCTCCCCCTCAGAGAGTTTCAGGGGGTGGTTAAACTTTAGGTTGGTTAAGTTATGGGGAGGTGACTCTTCATGTGAGAAATTTCGGGGAGCTAATCTTCAGGTGATAAAGGAAAGATTGTGTTCATTATCTTGACGGCTTCACCAACATGGAGGTTAAAGAGAGGAATTTTATGGAACTATTATTCATTAGTGATGTTTATTGAATTTACCTTGATAGATATAAGTATGTGATAATTAAGACACTTTATTTAATACACCACTTTTATACAATACTTCCCTTACCCCCATCACAGGTCACACTGAGTCAGCTGCCGGATGGTCTAGTGGATGACCTCATCTCATTCGGCAGTGCGTATTTTACTGGTGAAATCTCTCCACACATATATGAGACTGGTGCTGCCTTCTCCCCACCTATAATGAATCAAGGAAGGTGTGTGTGTGTGTGTGTTTGGCTGTTGGTTAGAGGGATCCCATTTCTAAGAAGCCCCAATTGAACTTATTGGATTGTGACCCATTAATGCTGGGTGTTAAATTAAATGGTTAAGTTGGGTTCTATTAATACTTGGCCCAATAAGTTTGGGTGTTAATTTAAATGGTTAAGTTGGGTTCTATTAGTACCAGGACCCATTATTATCCAAGATGAAATATTCATTACTGTTGAGTCTACCCATCCTACATCATGTCCAGTAAAATATTATGCAAGACTTAATAAAACTTAAAACATCCCCATAAATTTACCACCACCTGTGTTATTTGATTCCTTCCAGCAAAACCAAGACACTGAGTGAGATGTTGCTTCCCCCATTAGCAGCAGAACGCATCCCCCAACTTCCTCCCCTGCCTACCCATCCCTTACAGCTGGACAAGTCTGCCATCAGATTTGGTATAAAGATCGGAGAGGTGAGATTTATATACAGTGAGTCTGTCTTTATCATTTAGGAGAGTACAGTGAGTCTCTATTTATCTTTTAGGAGAGTTAAGACTTATACAGTGAGTTTCTATTTATCTTTTAGGAGAGATAAGACTTATCTTGGTTTATCTTTGAGGGTGCTAAGAAGTTACCAGTATCTCCATCACAGTGGCAGCCTTCCACTTTATCCGAGGTCATTACTCAAGAAAGGCATATTGTTTATTTCTTATTGTTTCTATCACTATTGCTCTTCCCCAAATTAGTCTTTGGGGTGAATGGAGAGGAGCAGAAAAATTAAGAAAGGTGTTTATATATAATGGACTTCTCTCCATATAATCCATTATATTGGGGGTTTCACATCTGAAGGACCCATGATATAATGACCTTTCATCGCTATATAGTTCATTAGATGGAGGTTGCACGTCTAATGGGCCATAAAAATAATGGACTTTCCTCTCTATACAGTCCATTAGATAGAAGTTTTACTATATGAGATGAAGAAATGTCAAGAAAGGCGTTAGTAAAGTAATGTTTTGATAATCTCCGACAGGGTAATTACGGAGAGGTGCACCGAGGGTTGATGACGGACGACCAGGGTCAGACGAAGACCGTAGCCATCAAGACACTCAAGGCTGTAGGCCAAGTAGATGATTTTAAGAGAGAAGTCGACATCATGAAGGTGGGTACTGGTTCTCTATCTTATCTTGAGTAAAAATTCATACATACATACTTAAATATTTTCCAAGAGTAATACATTGGTAATTATTGTATGTTATTGATTATTTCGGCAGTTATGAGCTTTTTACTCATTAGGTCTGTTCTTTGTTACGTCTTTTATTGTCCAGTGTTAGTACAGGAAGAATAAAACCTACCATGTTAGGTTGGGTCACACTGGATAACACCCTTCTCACATCTGTCCCAGGCTGGAGATTGAACTCACGACACAGTAGCGAGTCATATACCTGCTACCATTGTGTGTGATGGATGTGAACTAGCTATCATTAGACTATGGAGACTTAATAGAGTATTACTTCCTTTGATAGACTGATTGAAGTCACCTATTTTTTCCTTGGTGTTTCATAAATGACTTTTCTTACCTTTTTTGCAGAAACTGAAACATAGAAATATTGTTAAGTTGTGTGGCCTGGTAGAGTCTGAGGGTGAAGACATGTACATGGTGATGGAGTACTTACCTATGGGGTCACTCAAAGACTACATCAAGACCAATAAGGAACACATGAAGGACAGCTCTCTCTTGAAGTTTGCCATGGACATTGCTGAGGTACTCTGTGTGTGAGGATTGTCTTATGTACTGTGTGTGACGGGAGGATTGTCTTACTACGATCCCGAGAATTTTTTTATTAATTCGTTTACAGTACATTATCAGATCATGCTTTTATATATATTTATTTGCGCTAAAAATGGATTAATTCAGTGTAGTTGTTGTCTCGTTATAATTGTTACTAAGATTCAAGTATTTCCATGTTAATGTAAAATTCTTGTTTGTTGATTAAATTGATATTTTTTCTCTTTTTGTCTCTCATGTATTTGGTAGATTGGGCCATAGGACTTAATATACCTCCTTGAAATTACCCATTATAGTACATAATTTTCCCTCTAGTCATGTTCTCTGTCTTCATTTTTTGTGCACTTTTCATATTTTATTTGGGCAACAGTAGACGATTTTATTCAGTGGAGATAGCAGACTGTCTCCACTAACCCTTTCACACCAGCTCAAAGGTGACACCTTACATAAGGGTAGATCTAATGACAGTCCCCTTCATATGTCAGGTAACTGTGTGTTTTCTTTCAGGGGATGGACTACCTCGAGCAGCGCCGTGTCATCCACCGAGATCTTGCAGCACGTAATATCCTGGTGGCCGACCAACATAACGTCAAGATCACAGACTTCGGCTTGGCTCAGCAGCCCAACAGAGGAAACTATTACTTCCGACAGACACAGCGAGCCCTGCCCTTACCTTGGTGGGTGTTAAGAGTCCTTTAGTATTGTGTAAATGATGGGTTGTGTACAGGTGTGAAGTTCATGTTTATTTTGTTACAGTGTTTTCCATTTGAGTGAGTTAGATGTTTTCTTTGGTTACGGTATAAATTTCTCGATAAATTGTATTAACATTTTGTGTGAAACTCATTTAAACATACAGACCAAATTTTCTTTTCTAAATACAGTATTCATGTTTGATGATGTTTAACCTTTTCATGTGAAGTTGGCAAAAATCATGAAATATTTCTCCTCTGAACATTAACTTGTTTCCTTTTAATTATATGAATATTGTTAGATACTTAATAAGGAAAGGTTGCCATAAGTGTGTGTGTGATTTTGGGGTATGGTGTGTGTGTGTGTGGTGTTGGGGGTGTTTGTGTGTGTAATGTTGGGTGTGTGGGTGTGTAATGTTGGGTGTGTGGATGGTGTCTGTGTGTGTAATGTTGGGGTGTATGTTCCAATTTTTACATATATGGATATCAGAGTGGGGAATCCTTGGCCATTCTTTAAGGGTTAAATAGCGCATCCAGTATTATAGCATCTTATGATTTACAGGTACGCCCCAGAATGCATCGAGAAGGGTAAGTTCTCACACAAGAGTGATGTCTGGTCATACGGCGTCACCTGCTGGGAGATGTTTACCCGAGGGTTGGAGCCAGACCTTCCTCAGAAACCAGAAACTCTCCTGCAGGTTAGAACACATTACCTTCCTCTCTGCTGCTCTTATTTTTTTTTTCAAGATATAGTTAGTTATTATCTGTATTAACATTGGGATAAATAGTTGCATGTATAACATTTAAATGTACAGAAGGTATTGTTGCCTTCCATAAGCATCTGTGTAAGACCTCACTTGAGGCAGCTCTATCACTGTGGAAACATTCTTATGAGTCTTTTACACAGTACAGTAATCCTTTGCAATAAGGGACAGGGTTTGCTTAAATTAGTCTGCTTTGGGAAGGTTTATAGTATTGAGCAAAGAAAGATAAACTAGAAAACATACAGTTTAGAATTAGCTTATAATTCATTACAGTTACTGAAGAATGGGAAACGTTTGAACCTGAAGCCTCCTTGTCCACCAAACATATACTTGATGCTGATCCGTCCATGCTGGGACGAAGAGCCAAGTGGACGCCCCAACTTCTCTGAGGTCATCACCATAGTCAGAGAACAGCAGGATGGATGTTTATGAGCTGCAGCAGCACTCTGGAAAGATGTCAACAAAAGGATCCTCATTTTCTGTGAGTTATAGTACAGTATAATGTAAAAATTGTTAAGAGACGGGGAGAAGTGAAGTGAATGAGTGGATTTGTGTAACAAGAATAGGTAAACAGCTTCATGGAGGGGGCAATGGACAGTTACTCAAGTTAAGACTGCATAATTGCGTTGCAGTAGATGATCAGGTGGCAGAAGGGTGTAGGCAACTTTGGTTTTAGGCTGTTGATACAGTCACAGTGGCAATGATCTCAAGGTAATTTGTATTGTTTTAAGCTTAATAAAGAAGCCTCCTTCACTTCTTCTCTGTTTATATTAATTTATATTATAGTTATCCCAGAAAAATATATACTGTGTACACTTCCTTACAAGCTTTTGTGAAGAGTCCATGAATGCTTTTATTACAAGAGAAATCATTGTCTGCACTTATTGATGTGTGAAGTCTCCCACAAGTTAGGACAGATGATGCTGTTGTAATACCAGCATTTATGTGATCTTTACAAATGCTTGCACGGAAGTGTGTGTATACAGCAAACAGTTCATCTATAAGAGACTTAACTGTGCAAGTGACCTGCCTCTCAAGCATGGTAAAATTATCAAAGTCACTGGGGACTATGATGGTATATAACAGACCGAGTCCTTTATTATTCTGTATCCAGAAATAACAGACTTTCAGCTTTAATGGACCGGTCTTCCCCCGAATTAGTCTATTATATTGGGTTTACTGTATATGGAATGTAAAGTATATCAGATTCTGAAAATAAGTGGCAAAGGTAAAACTGAAGAGAATGCATTACTTATATGGAAGCTAGATGTAAGAGAGTATGATTTTTATCAAGTGAATTATAACTTGTCCATTTTACCTGAGGGAGGTGAACCTGTACCAGATGATGTAGTTGACAGAATATGGTTGCTATGTAGTGTAGATCTGAGGTCAAAATACAATGTCATCTTGTCCAACACAACCTAACATAATCAAATGAGAGTATAAGTTATGTATTTTGCATATTAGAATTCCCTTTTTTCCTACTTAACAATATATCACAAAACTAGAATAATTTTTTGGTCTGCTTAAAACTGCTCTAGCTAACCAATCACTTTGCCGAGACAATGGAAACATCTGAAGTATTTTGACTCCTATAGAGAGAATAGATAAAAGTTTAATAGGTGATATTTAGAGAAATATTATTATTGTATGTGATGAGTTTTAGTGGAATTGTGAGACAGTAATGTAAAATAGTGTTTTAATCCTTAAATGGCTGCTGTCATCAGAGGACATTTCATGTTCCTCGCATTCCATTTTTGTGCATATGAGAGCAGAGTAGGGAGTCCATAGCTGCCAGTTAAGGGTTAAATATGGATGTTGTGATATGTGTGTGTGTGAGGATGTTACTATACATAGTCTTTCATATACTGTGACTGGTGCTCAGTTAATGAAGCACCCTATATGAGTGAGGTCATAATGTATGAGGTTGTTTAGATGTAAATACATAATCAAAAGATGAATACACTCTATAAATTAAGGTATTTAGTCATGATATATTGTTCGTGTAACATATTTTCAATGTTCCATAAAAATTTGTAACATCTTGACAACTTTATATTATCAATTAATTTAATTCTTTTATATTCTGAGGCCTAATAAGCAAATAAAATAATAAACATTTACAATACAATATTTGTTTTATTTAACTTGTGAGTAGAGTTCAGTTTTTTGGTACAGTTTCATCCACAATTGGGATTTAATATGTTTAAATAAATTACAGTACTGTACATCCAGAATAACATTTAAACACCAAAAAGTGAACTTGGAGAACCATAGGTGACGAGTAATTAATGTTGCAAAAGTAATTAAAATTTTGAGTCATTTGGAGGAGTAATTTACAGATATTAAACTGGGGAAGACATATCCTAAATAGCCAGGTTCAGCAGTACATATATTGTACAGGTACTCCAGAGCTTGCCGATTACAAATATATGGTCCACGATTCGATTGCAGGGTAATTAGTGTTGTAATGTCGCTTGGAATATCTTAAAAGTTTTCATTGCTAATTACTCGCCAACTATGGGTTTCCAAGGTGCGATTTGGGGTTTGTGTGTTATTCCGGAAGTACTTCATTAGTTAAACCCCTTAAATTCCAATTCCAAGAGAAAAGTATATTTCAGTAAAAAATTACTTTGGCATGATATTTTTGCCTCGCCTTAAATTTACCCAAAACTAACCTTATTTAAATGATGAAGGAGAATAAAGTGGAGCCACAGGTGACAGGAAGTCTGATGCAGAATCATGTTGTGGTCATTGTCAGGGTGACCGCAACAAGAGGAAAAGTGGTAGTCATGAAAAAGAAAATGTTAAATTTTACATTCAGAAAGAATAACTTTACTGACTTCTCAATTGGTATTATAATGAATTCTCCAGTTATTTTTATTTAGTTTCTGATATGTGTTTCCCTTCATAACAACACCAAGTTAAAATACAATTGAAAATCCCCCACAAGAACTAGATTTAGCACCAAAATGCTAAATATGGTCACCCTGGTTTTGTACAAAAACAAGAAGAGAATCATTTTATTCTCCTCCATCACTTAAATAAAATAAACTTTTTTATAACGGTAATTAGAAGTTATTTAATGTTCGGAAAGGTTAGGTCTGATTACTAAAGGTTTGACTGGTGGTATTTTTAGTGTTTTAACCCCACATTTTCCCTCGTCTTCAATCTCAATAAAAAACATAAGAAAAACTTATTTTTCTTGGTACAGTAATTCCTAATTACCTACATGTACTCTACTGTTCCCACTGATACTTTTTCAGGTTATATCTTTACAAAGTATTTGATACATTTTGGACAATGAACAAGCAAATGTTTTACCCCAAAGGGACATCCAGACCTAAAAACATCACCATTCAATCTGTTTCTTTTGGGAGAGGAACAGTGGTACTAATTCATATATACAGGTAAACCTCTATATGCAATGGATAAGGCTCCTGAAAACCCCATTGCAGGTCGAAATACACTACCCATACGTATCACTGAAAAAATTTCCTCGAATACTGCAACACATTAAACAACACTCATCACTCATCAGTCACCACAACATCAAGAACAAGTCTGGTTATCATCACACGTCTCCTTGAGGACTAAGACGACTCTTAAGGTGGAGTGGAGACATCAACCTGAGTCCCACACAGACTTTGGGGAGTGTGAAGAGTGGGGACTGGCGGTGTAATTTTTGTCCCGGCTTTAAAGATGGTGAGCAAAACGCTTGCCAAAGTTATACTGCTCACTTCACATTCACAAACACATGATAATAATAATGGGGACTCAATTATTTTATGAAACAACGTATGAAATGTTGATACCAGTCTATAAAATCAGTTCTAATTAAGTTAGAAACACTCATGAATGGGGCTGTGTGTGTAACAGTGGATCTCCACTGTTTTCCAGTGTCTAAGCAATGCATCTCACACAGACTGACACAAGAACTGTATAAATTTACACAAACACCATTGTACATATACAATATACTGTATTATAAATACAGTAAATAATTAATGTATATTACTACTGTCGTCTTGAGCCTACAGTAGGAGTATACTGTCCAATCTCCTGAGTGTAATACATAACTGTAATCACTTTTTATGTCTTTTAACACTTGTGATGGAGGTGGAGTGGGGGATTAGTGGTCTCATGTTACTGACCTTCTGATGCAACGTCAGGTCTCCCATTGTCAAGATGGGGGATCAGAGCAAAAGTACTTCATAGTCAGAGCAAAGGCATTTCAGTCACTAAAACAGAATACAATGTGAACTTTAGTGGTGTCCTCTCACTGTAAGGTAAGAAAAATCAAACACCGATGACGTCTAATAAACACTGAGCTCCATATCTGACACACACAAAATTAAGATGAAACAATGCCTGGACTGTAGTTCACCAGATGGCCACGAGGAGGCATTTAGGTAGATGACACCTCAGCTGACAAATGAAGTGAATGATGCATTCCATATGCTGACTTGGTGGGACAATGAATATCATAAATGCAAGTTTGTTTACATCACCAAAAGGAAAGTGGTCTTAATATATCAGCATCGTTAATGCAGATTATCGTAGGTTGGGATATCGTAAATAGAGGTTTACCCGTACATATGTGAGTACTCTACTAACTCTCTTTTGCACCTGACAAACCTATTCCAAACTGTGAAAATACTAAAGCCTTTTTGTACTTACATTATGTCCCAGCTCTGCAGAATATCTGATCAAACACAAAATACATTAAAGGGGATGTACCGGCTCTGGCTCACACACATAGAGAAACAACTTGCTGAAAAGAAAAGAAAAGGTTCAGCTGCATCAACACCATCAACTGATCTGACCAAATATAACACTGGACACTGGCCCATGCTAAGTGATGTAAACAGGTTCTCACACAAATCACAGTCTTATTATCCATAACCAGATGACTTAAAAAGGCTTCTAGGTGAACTTGTTAGTGTAGCCAAAAATCTCACTTCTAATTGAAATTCTACAGTTTACAGTAATGGTAATATACTTTAGTTCTCTCTCTGCTAATGCTTCAGTGTGATGATAACACTTGGGGATTTTCTCTGGCCCTTGGACTGTTGGGGTTAATGTAGGTGGTGTATCAATGTCTTTGTCACCTGCTCTACTTAATTGTATGGGTATGACAACAAGTGTAGTTTTTAAGTCTACAGAAATTCACTTAATGTGGTTATGAATGAGCAGCATAAATCTAGTGTAAATTGCTACAGTAAATATTGTTGAAGGTACTGTACTGTAGACAGTTGGACCGGGAACTGATGACACTGGGAATACTGTCAACAAATGCCATCAGTCAATAAGATAATGTTATCCCAGGTTCTTGCCTTCATACACAAAATATGAACACACTTAACCCTGGAGGGAAATATGTAAAAGGCAAACTATGCACAATGCAGCTTATTATAAAAAAGTCTTACTCATGATGCAGCTTATTATAAGAAAATGTCTTACTCATGATGCAGCTTATTATAAAATAATGCCTTACTCATGATGCAGCTTATTATAAAAAATGTCTTACTCATGATGCAGCTTATTATAAAAAAAGTCTTACTCATGATAACTGTTGGAAAGTTACTGTTTAAATCTGTTCTAATTTTACATGACTATTTATTCCATGACTTTTCCAGTATTATTTACGATGAGTGTGAACCATGTGTGCGTCTAAACAAGACTTCTAATTGTTTTTAAAATTTTCACAATACAACTCATTTATTTGTCTCATGATCATATTGTTGCGGTTTCTTTATCATAATAATGTGTAATAAATTTCCATCTAAAGAAGTTAATATTCTTGCCAGAGTATTCCTCATTATTACAGCACTAACACATTATAGGCAGACCCTGACTTATAACAGGGATACATTCCTGGACCCTGATTGTAAGTTGGTTTGTTGGCAAGTCAGAAGTGTTAATTCCATAGTTTAGGTTAGGTTAAAGTACAACCCTGCCCATACAAAACAACAATAATATTACAAACACAACAAATAATGTAAATACTGTAAATAAAGTGATGTTAAACAATATAGAATAATGAAAATAATGTAAAAGATGGGATTTTGATTAAAAATTTGTGTGATGAATGTATTGGGATCCCTTTCTTAAGTGCACATGATCATAAGTCGGAAGGTCATAACTCGGGGACTGCCTGTACCGCACTTAACTATTTTCTTAACCTTATACTCTTTGCTACTGACTGGCCTGTTAGCTGCTTGGGCGATTGTTCACGTCTCTGTTTCTTACTGTTGGCAAATACTGGGCATGTACTGGCTCCTGAATGTATCTGTACCTGTGCCAGTGTTGGTCAAATCTGGTCTTGAAAGAGCTCACACTCGGTGCCGTCACAACACACTCTGGTAAGTTGTTCCAAGAGTTCACAATTCTCACTGTGAAAAAGTTTGCTCTCACAGTTTTCTTAACTTGTGTCTTCTTCAACCTTGAGCTGTGACCTCTAGTGGTGCAGGCATCCACCAGCTGCAGATATGAACACTTATGTTGATATAAGTTTTGTATTCACAGTACTTTAGTGTACCAAATAAAGACTGTGACCAACTTTTAATTTTGTTTCAAACATTCAACTCTTTGTCCCAGAGTTGTTCTAATGACCATTAACCCTCTCACTGCCAGGTCGAGCGGGACATTTCCAACCATTCAGTTCCCGATGAAGGAACTTTGGTCATCCAATAACCTGTATGTTATGTTATGGTTATTTTTCAACTCATAATCTTAGGTACAGTAGATATAAATAATGTTCAATTTTGTTTAGTTAGTTACATTCATACAGAATGTACCAAATAATAATACTGTACTGTAGTAATAATCTTCAGAAACAAATCACTCGTACTGTGCACATCAGAAATATCTTTCGGTTTTTTCTTATTGTGTTCATTCATAAATGAATTACAGTAAATCTAATCACTAATAAAATGACCTATAATAATAATAATAAAAAAAAAAATACTGTACAGTAGAACAACGATAAATCGGACTAATGGGGCAGACCCCAGTCTGAAAAATGCAAAAAACGGAAAAAAGCGAATATATGGGGCAGGGTTGGTGGTGGGGATAACACCGCTTATCTGAACTGTTTAAAAGCAAATCAGTTATGTTATTACTGCACATCAACAACTAAGGCCTTTAAGTTCATAACAAGGTTATTAAAACACTATTACATCAACAATAAAAAATATGAAACAGAACTCTCTCGGTTGAAAATCAGGACAATATTCTGGTTGTCAACAATTTTTTTTTTACGGGGATTAGCCCACCCGGGCACAGGTCACTGACCCACATCGGGGCCTGGGGGACGAAAATGTACTGTAATAATAAACATAATAATCATAATAATAATTCAGATAAGTAAAACTTTAATAAAAAATTATTTACTGTAAAGTGTTACAGTAAATGTAAGTAACAACAGAATTAGCCTTATGAATAACGAGAAAACTGTGAACTGTACAGTACTATAAAGATAACAATAATAACAAATAAGTGTAGGGGTATATTGTATACGGAAGACGAGTGTTTACCTGGGAGCAGTAGGCAGAGGGGGGTAGCTCCCTCCTCCAGGATTCCTTTAACACTTCTTTATGCAATTTCACCATAATCTCATATAATTTAGGATCATTTGGTGCAAGGCTGACAAAATATTATTCTAAAAGAATCAACTTTCCTGAAAAAAGAATCCCACACTCAACACCATGAATGGTTTGTTTACAAAGGCCAAACAGCTGATAGGCTTACCACAACATGTCTTCAACACTTTGTAAATTAGTACAGTACAGTCGTGTACTTATCATCACTTAATAAGTAATATTGTAGTGTAAAGTATTATGTATCTGCCTATACTCTGGTTTATTCATTAATCAGTTGTCCAAATGTACAAGTAGCCAAACTGAGCCATCATGTATTACTCAAACGTAATAAATAACATTGTAGGAAGATATCTTCATATCAAATACTATACAGTGTGTTATAGCGACTGGTGTAAGCTTATTGCTGAAAGCTCTCACACGAACGCATCCCAAGTAATACCTTCAGATACAACTTATCCTTTTATTTTCAAGTCATATTAGAACTTACATACAGTATTGTATTTTTTCTTTATTATTGAAGGTGTTATATTAATCATGATGAACCAAAAACCACAGGAGGCCAATCATATGAGAATATAATACTGAATCAATAAATAAATAAACCTGGTGAATGTGACAACACCCGGTCAGCCCCAGCCTGCTTACATCCTCAGGTGTCTTAGTTCTCAGTAGGCCTATAGTAAATCTGATTACAGGCACTTCTCAACTTACGACGGGGTTAGGGACCCAAATCCAGGTCATAAGTCGAAAATGCTAAGATAATACATAGAAAATCTAAAATGGGTGTCTCTTTTTCTTCTCAGCACCACAAAACTCTCACTTTTAAGCTTGCCAGCCATTTTAAGGGAATTACAAATGAAAATTTTGTCAGTACACCGCAATCACTAACGTTGGGAGACGAAAATACGTAATTTGAAAAAATTTTGGTACGACTGGGGCGGTCGTAAGTCGAGGAGAACTGTATACCACTGTACAGTACTCAGTGAGTAAGTGTTGTTCATTTCATTTTTTTAACCCTCGCCATTTCATAAAATATGTATTTTTTTTAATATTCCTGGTGACCAGAGCATCTCAGAGTCCCCAAAAAGCTAATTCCAATATATCTAAGTTTGATTTATTGAGGTTTTACTGTACTGTAGTTTACCCTCAGCACCTTTATTAGAGGAGACTTAAACTAATAAATAAAAAAGCGTCATACTGTATTTTATTTATTTTTTCTTGGACAAATTTTAATCAGCAGTATCAGTTGAAGGAGAAGATTACTGATAAAATGGTTGGGTAAGTCTTAATGTATTATTTTACCCCAATTGTATGATTATAATATAAAAACAAAATATATACAGTAAACTTAGCAACACTATAACCCATATTTTTCATTACCTTTACTGGGATAAAATTACTTACTATGTATACAGTAGAATCCCATATAATGTCATCCCACAGCTAAACACATCGAGTGTAATGTGACTCAAGTTTGTCCTGCACAAGATAGTTCCTATATAGCCTGGTTGGGTTATTCCAGTCACTCCACAGATGACACCAAAAGATGGAGGCAGCATTAGTCGCTACACCACCAGGATCATCTCTCTCTCTCTCTGCCCACCAAATACTACAACTTCCATATTGTGTTTGTGTATTATGAAAGGTCAAGTGTAGAATTATGGTGATGCTGCAGCGAGCAAGAAAATTAGGAAAATTAAAAAATAAGTCCCTAATCAGCTTCAAAAGATGTGTTCCTTGTGGATGACAGAGTCCACCACCATACTGTGCACTATGATATGAAAATGAGGTGGTGGTACAGCCGCTGCTCTTCAACAATGGTGTGGAAAGTGAAACTGGGTCCCATAGGCATGACTGCCCATTAAGGACAGTGTGGATACAGCACACTGTATGCTAAACCTTCGGTACACAAGGAGGCAGCATGGCCGGTACTGCACTCAACCGTCTTCACTTCCCCAAGTTGTAAACTTAGGTACCAATTCACAGCGGGATGAATTGGGAGTGCCTGGGAATAGAACGAATGACCCCAGGAACAGGAGGAGAGAGTTGTAACCACTCGCCTGCGTGCCCCAACAATGGTGTCCCCGGGGCCTAAACACAACAGGAACTTTGCTCCGAGAAGTTAAGACAAGTGTTGTTTCCACGACCAACATTTACCTCAGAAGGTAAAAATAGAATATTCTTCTCTTACGTTTCACCCTTTTATTATGGGAGACTACTTTTAATAGTTTATTTGCCGAACAACAGACAATTTTATTCAGCAGAGAGGGAACTCTGTACAAGAGGGGTTATAATGTGATATGTGTGTGTGTGTGTGTGTGTGTGTGTGTGTGTGTGTGTGTGCGTGCGCACGTGTGTGTGAGGTTTATTTATCAAGAGTAACACAGTAATGTACAGTATGTCTAATAATATTGTGGAGGAGAAAAAGGTTCTCATATCTTGCTGAAAGTTATGTGAGCTATTCCACTACACTGTCTGTCCACCTAATGATATATAAGACAGCAGCCTTTACACAGGGTTCTACTGTATACATTGTAAATAATAATATGGGGAAAAATATATTACATAAATTGCTACAATAACTGAAGAATTAATTACGATATATAATTAAATAATATGAAAAAAGTACATTCATTTTGTAATTCTATAACAAAAAATAAGTAAAATAAAATAAGAAACTGTAATGCTGGCCTTAGTACTGTATATACATTTGGAGTCACTTGAATATCATTATGCTGACCTGTATGGCTGGCATAAAGTTAATAAAAGGGCCACTCATAAGAGAAACTGGTACAGTACTACATACTGTACTGTACTCCTCAAACAAATACTATACTGTACTCTCAATTAGACATCTGACATGTACATCTCCTGCACACATTTCCTCACATCTGTGGACAGTAAATATGGAAGTACTGGACAGCAGAACAAACCTAATGACTTAACGAGTGCCAGAACTAACATTACCTATTGAAGACGGTGACCGAACAGAACTCGGGGATTGGACCATTAAACACACTTCCTCATTAACACCTACAGTGATGCTAGTCTTGGGCTGCTGCTGTAAGAGTGGTCAGGACCTTGTTGATGTGAGGGTTGGACCAGTCGCAGGTCAGGTCGTCCAAGTGATTATCAAAGTCATTTATGTCGTGCTGAACTCTACGCTGCAGTAGCTGTGATATGACCTCCAGTGACCCAGCTTCCACATGTACACTGGGAAATAAGTTGTGCTGTTATTAATGTGTTCTGTAAAGAGCCTCAACTCACATAGACCACACGTCTCCTTGACTACATTAAATTGTTCTAAACGTACCTGTAAAACAAGTTATATAGCCTAATTTGGGATCGATTACTTCCCAGGGCAAATATAACACCCGTGAAATCACCTTACATGACACTACTAACTGTACAACTGTAGTCCTCGTCTGTCTGTCTCTCTCTCTCTCTCTCTAAATGCAACAGGTAAAAACTCCTCAAGAGTAACCCCTTACAGCAGTGTTTGACCAAATTACTTCAAAACGTGGATGCAGTTAAAAATCTTAGTGTAGTTATTGTACTGTATGTCTTAGTGTACCAGTGAAGCATCTGGGCTAAAGACCTAATAGGAAATTAATAATGTAACAGCTATCCGGTGCCATGCAAACTTATCGGATGTCGAGTTATGGTGGTTTTACTGTACAGGCAATGATGATTGTAACTGATCACAATGGCATGTAATTTCAAAATACATCAGTAATTATGGTACAGTACAGTACAGTAGCTCCTGCTTGTAAGTGTAACAGTACAGTACAGTAGCTCCTGCTTGTAAGTGTAACAGTACAGTACAGTAGCCCCTGCTTGTAAGTATAACAGTACAGTACAGTACAGGTATAAGCACTACAGTACTCACCTCGCCTTCTCTTTGCTCTTCCACTTTCCTTCTGATGTCAACTGTGAAACAATTACTGGAGCTGACATGAGGTTCAGACACATTCTTTTGTTGTCAATCTGAAAATTAACAAAAAACAGCAACATTAGTACAGTATTAATCTTCATATTATTTATTCACACATCAGGTACAGAAATAATATAAGGCAGCACATAGTGGGTGACAGGTTGTTGAGGTAGAAGCAGAGAGATCTGTAGGGTGTTTAGTGGTAAGATAGTCAGAGATATGGGCAGGCTTCACAATACGCCGCCAGCACAAAATATAGCCGTAGCATTTTTCACAACCTATTAAGCTCTCCCTGTTCACACATACATCTCTCCTCCCTCACCATAAACAAACAAGAGGATAAGTCACAGTTGACGTCTGCACAAAATAATATTCTCTATTTCTCATGTCTGTTTTTAATCTGTTGTAAAGAAAGGCTGAATGTTTCCTCCTACACTGAGAAAAAAAAAAAAATAACAAAATTCAACGCTGGAGAATAAATTTATCTAGTGAATCATACATATTAGTGAACATTAAGTCCTTTCATCACCACTAAGAAAACATGACCCCAACCCTTGAGGACAAAGAGTATATCCTCCTGACTGTCATAACGTTAAGACAAAAGAGTCCCCCCAAACTAAACAGTTAACCCCTTCACCACAGGGATGCCAGTTATGACACTTCATTTGGCCGACACCCAATGATTTTATTCACCTTAGAGGCGGCCCCCATACACAAGGGGTTAAATGACAGGAAGAAAATATTTACCGCCAGCAGATGTGGATGGTGTGAGGTGACGTGGGCTAGTATGGAGGTCATTAATGAGGCAGAAGGGAATACTATAATATACTAACAACTAGCAGAGATACTGTACTGCTAGTGGGTGTTCCGGTGTGGTTGTAGAGTTATAAGACAAACTATCAATCAGTACCTGTAGCACATTTTTGTATCTACTTCTCTGTAGATTCTAGTAACTCTGTACCTGATTCTCTGTAGATTCTAATAACTCTGTACCTGATTCTCTGTAGATTCTAATAACTCTGTACCTGATTCTCTGTAGATTCTAATAACTCTGTACCTGATTCTCTGTAGATTCTAATAACTCTGTACCTGATTCTCTGTAGATTCTAGTAACTCTGTACCTGATTCTCTGTAGATTCTAGTAACTCTGTACCTGATTCTCTGTAGATTCTAATAACTCTGTACCTGATTCTCTGTAGATTCTAATAACTCTGTACCTGATTCTCTGTAGATTCTAAAGACTCTGTATAATCAAAATTAAGACCGGACATTTTTCACACGTGGATGACTCACCATTATCAGGCAGGAGTCGTTGTTGTTTTCCGCGATCTTCTCCGCTATTTTCAAGGCCACGAAGTCTGGACTGCAAGAAAAACATCAGAGTAAATTTTTCAATGTTTGGCTATTGTTTTGCTCTGTGTGTAAAGTATTATTATTATTATTAGTAGTTGTAGTAGCTACTTATGTATTAGGATATTCAATATTAAGGTAATTAAATGGTGGCGAAGGTGTGGCTATTGGGGGAGGCTGGAGGCCACGGTAAAAAAAAAAAAAAGTAGTAGTTGTAGTGTGTGTGTAAAGTATTAGTAGTAGTGTGTGTGCATGTAAAGTATTATCATTATTATTAGTAGTAGTAGTAGTTGTAGTTGTAGTAGTGTGTGCGTGCAAACAAAAGTGGTGAGCGAAAAATAATACCTTGGCATAATTCTGACAACAACATTTGAACACATGACAAATACCACAACTGCTTTATCTCAACTACCTAAAACAACAACAATATACAAACGTACACACAGAATACTTACACATTGTCTCTTATATGTTCATTGGCTTGGTAGTAACCGGCTATTATTAACCCTTCTGATTTATATCGCTGTTCAATCTGTAACACATAAAACACATCACAGGGTCATATTAAAACAAGTATTAAACCAAGCTAAATAAGAATACTTCATCAGAGGGAAAAAATATGTATAAAATAATGATATTGTGGTCATGAAAAAATATAAAGGAGATTTAGGTAATTGTTAAAGAGGTTAGCATCCTGTCACCGTTAGTTACCAGAACAGTGTGAGTTTACTAGAGTAGGTCGAGTTACTGGAGTAGTGTGTGTTACCAGAGTAGTTTAAGTTACCTGAATAGTGTGAGTTACCAGAATAGGTTGAATTACCAGAGTAAGTTATCAGAGTAGCGTGAGTTACCAGAATAGTGCGAGTTACCTGAGTGAGTGCCACCTCTAGCATGGGGGCCAGACTGAGTTGTAAGTGGAAGAGAGGAACGGCATCGACCAGGACCACAGTGTTGGAGGTGGTGTCCCCCCCTCTTGCCTGGGCCAGCACCACCCCACTCACAGAAGACTGGGGGTAGCGGGCAGCGTGGAGCAGCATTTTGGAGAGTGTGGAGCACGCCAGGCTGATATCTCCGGACATTTTGCACGCTTTTACCTGAGAATCAACGCTCGTTAGTTTTAAATTCCTAAACATAAATTACACTAGTATTAATGCAACAGATGATGAAAACTAAACCACATATAGTTTAAAATATCCCAAATACTGTATAATAAAAGTGGAACTAAGAGGGAAAAAAAAAAAATCAGCTTTAATGGTTAATATGATAAGGTTGAGAATTATCTAACAATGAACTCCACTTAAAATCTCACCAACGAATCAACTTTTCATCTCAAATATTCCCTAAACAAGATGACTACCGTATCACTTTACATATAGCCCAGTACAATGTATCCTTAATCAACCAGGCAGCTCACAACTAGCAAACTCTCACAAGCTGTACAAGATCATGGTAAATAAATACCGGTATTCTTAGTATTAAATTAAAGCTGTAAAAATCAGACTGCCTAAGGGTGATTATGGTGGACACTGTTGAGAGAGGTGAACGAAGCCCTCTAGTGAGATGATGGCGTGCTGATGATGAAGGCTAGGGTAAACACCACTTAAAACTCTGCCATTTCACTCGACGAAAATCACAAAAAACACAATAAATTACACGATCCTTTGTTGTAACTACTCTCAAACTTTCTAAGAAGCTGACCTTAAGCTGTCACCACACCTACGACTGTACAGTGTTCCTGTTCTGTAGCGTCTTACTTGTTTACCTGTATGACACTATGAGTTAAGAAAGGTTACATAGTGTTCCCTTTATGATGAGACAAAACCCTATTTATATATATTGAGGTAAATATTTGATTGGTTATAATTTAGTGAGTCATCTGTACCTTATCAATTTGGTTATATTTTAATAATCAAATTAGGATATAACTGAGTTGATAATTTATGATGATCCTCAAAGCACCACCTCTTGTTCAGGGTCTATGTTAGAGGATCACAAGTGACATGAAAATGATTTCTGGGTACACTGTAGGTCTTATTCCCCCCCCCCCTCTCCTCCCCCACAACACATGAATTTGTTTAAGGCAGGGGTGGGCAAAGTACGGCCTGCGGGACACATTTGGCCCGCCAAATTATTTCTGTGGCCCGCCACTGCATTTGGCAATCAGAAAAAAATCTTATTAATTACAGAAAGGACAATTTTGGAAGTTGGGTGGACATAGCAGCAATACTGGCTCGTCGCTGTTAACCTGTGGCCCATGAAGTGCGCCACCATTCATGAGGTGGCCCCCCCATCAAAAATAAATGCCCACCCCTGGTTTAAGGCGTAGAAGCTGTCGTCAACACAACAACCACACCCTGAGTTAACGAGCTGCATGACCCAGTTTCAAGGAATAGTCCGAGAAAAACGGACAACTTGCTAACTGCACTGGCTAAGCATTACCCAGAACACGATCCACAAATCGGTTAACATCCAGGTTTCCAGTTACTGCTGGGTAGACAGAGGCAAATAGTGTAAAGAAACTTTGCCCATAGTTTCACACTACCCGGGGATCGAACCTGGATCCGCTCGCTTGCAAGGCGAGGATGCTGACCATTATACCACAGGTCGCCACACACACACACACCCACACCCACACACACACACACCACAAACTCTTTTAAGTAAACCTTAGTGTGTATTTAAGCTTAGATCTTAACAACAAGCAAAATGGTCAGATTAAACTTTGATCAAACACGCTAAACAGGGGTAGATTAAACATTGATCAAAAGTTAAACACAGGCAGATTAAACTTTGATCAAATAAGGGCAAATTAAGCTTTGACCATAAGTTAAAGCTAAAACTTTGACTCCAGACAAGCTCAACATTACCAGGTTCAACTGTGCTCATAATCGCAAGGGGATGAAAGACATTACATAAAAAACAAGTGAAGATCTGGTTAACTATTCATTCACTACTAAACTGCTGGAAGAAAAAGTTATTTATTTAGAACTTGGAAGAAAATCCTCATTATTCACCCACCTGTTAATTTAATGGTAAACTTGAACTTACATTAGTTAATTAAATAACCCAGGGTAAAGACTATATCAACATCAAGTAGGTATATTATATAAAATTATGTAGCAATGTCAGTGTTTGCGGTATGTACTGTAGACCGAATATATAACAGTGACATGGTAAATAATTCTCAACAGCAGGTGTGTGTGTGTGTGTGTGTGTGTTAAGGTATAACAGGTTCAGGTCTAAAAGCAACATCATAATAATCGTAAGTTAAGCCAAATCTTACATCTCACACACAAGGTTATGAAGCAGCTGGGCGCACAATCCTTAACAAAAGCTACGTCACCAGACAAACCTTCATCCTGTGTGTCCGAGAACAGTATTATTGCCTAACCCAACCACCAGATAATGACAACAAATGGACCGACGCCACCGAGAGGGCTTTACCGACTGAGGAAAAATGGGAGAACGTCGTCACGCTCTCGGCATCATCTGTGGGAAACAGGTGACACTCGGAGCTTATCTCCAACTGTACTGGTTTAAGAGACATGTGATTACACCCCTGTCTGTTTAATACAAGTCTATATGTATGATTCTTTAGACCATATACAGTGTACATCATTCATTAACAAGTATGGTAAGATGTGTCTGTCATCTAAAGTATTAAGAAGAGTCTGTCAACAAATATATCAGCCATTTACGAGGACGCCGCCACCACCAGAACCCAGTTATGGATTTCCGTTGTTTTTCACTTGTTGTGTTTGGTGATTGTTAAGTTTAGAAGGAGCGATAACTTTATATTTTCACTTTGTCGCTTTTTTTTCATTTTTCTATATCTACTTTTATAAATCACCTGTAGATGGCAGGGCATAAAGGATGAGGGGAATTGTGGGGTAAAACACGGTGAAAAACTGATCATATAACACTAAAATGATGTCTCTACACGAAGAATTTAATTATTTGCTATAAATATTCCTCCGACAAATCTGCTGAATCAGAACGTGCTGTTGTCTGCTCTCTTTGTATACAACCAACCCGCTTGGTCCGAGCACACTCTAACATCCACAAAAAAATACAAAATTAAACAACAAATTTGCTTTCATTGGTACCAGATATCAAAATAAGTAGTTTTTATTTAATAGTTTTTATTTAATACAGCGGGGTGGTCCGCCCCCAGTTAGGAAATTAGCTAAGGTTAGGTAGGTTTGTTTGGTTGGTTAAGTCAGCTGGGGGAAAATATATGACTGAAATCGAAAAACTCATTCTGGTGGTAGCGGTGTTCTCAGACATTACCATGAAACTAATATCTAAAGTATTACCATGAGAAATTTCACCCAGACAGGTCACTAAACTCGCCAATAAATTACTATAATAGTTTACTGTATTGACCCCGTCACTCAGTACTGAACGATACATGTCATAAAATTGATTCTCCCTCCACCTGATAATACCATATGATAAATTACCTTAATTAGGATAAATAGAAGTCTTAATACACCTGAAAATACATAACAAATAGCAATAAATGACACAATTACGTAAACCCCGGTTAAGTATGGAAGCCACTGGCAGCCCTCAATAACTCCAGTAATTATAAGCTTAAACATCAAACACACATGAAATAGTCACACCAGACACTCTACATATAAATACTAATTAACTAAACACAATATAATAAGCCCAAGGTAGAGCTATGATGAGTTATAACAATATATGGCAGACTCACACACGAGACCTCACTCAACACGGTAAACACTGGATGACGTTTAAATTGGTCAATGCTGGTGATGGACCACGAACATGGCCACGACTCTAATATATTTTCCAAATCTTATTAAATACCTACTATATAAAGTTGAATATTATATAAACTACAGACAAAAATAATGAAAAGATAATTAATAAAATTCTTAAAGTAATTATTATATTAATGCTTAATATAGTAATCTAATTTTTAACTACGACCAATGGTGAAAATACAACTAATTAACAAGTATGAATTTGTTTAATAACAGATCATCCTTATGTAAGTGAACCAAAAATACAATTAAAATATTAAATAGTTTAATTTTGATTCAATTTTGTAGTTATTGTGACTTTTATATATAAACAAACAAATTGTCCTAGTTATCATATTCTGTAAAAACAGGAAATACGAGCTAAATAATAACTAAATTTAATTACTCCTGGTTAGTATAAATTATATTAGTTTTTTATTAATTATACCTAAGTTTTTATAAACCCAGAACAAGACAATTTAAGGTTTATTAAAGATTTTGGCTAAAGATAAGAAAATGCCAACATACTCGTGGTTGTGCGTTAACATCTGTCACTCCCTAACATGGCAATATTTTCTAAAGGTTTAATTCATTGTAAGAGTAATTATTTATCTATTATCTCAATTATTAACTAAAAAGTAACAAATTCACAGCACAAGTATACAAACAACATACCGAGACAATGCAGGTATATAAACAATGTATATACACAGTGTTTATATAGGTCACCAAGACACGGCGTGACATGGTATTATAGTATTAGTTAACATGAAGGAGGCTATATGTTAGCAAGTTATGAATATATAATACTTGGCCACTTAACCCTTAAAGGTCAGTGGTCCCCTACGTATGTATATATATAGTATGTATGTGTTATGTTTCGTAGTTTGAGAATATTTGGAAGTTTATTCCTGGTTTCTGTTGCAATTTATTCGGTTCCTTTAATCTAAAGGTAGATACGTGAGACAATTTATTCTGGTCTATGAAATAATTTATCTCTAGTAAAGGAAACAATTTATTTAACCTTCAGGATAGATTTACTCTCAGAATTGATATATATTTAATCCAGGCTTAGAGCAATTGTATTTTTTACAGGGATTACGGTAATCTCTCACTCTCTCCCTCTCTCACTCTCCCTCCTCACTCTCTCTCTCCTCCCTCTCTCTCACTCTCACTCTCTCCTCTCTACTCCTCTCCCTCTCTCTCCTCTCTCTCTCTCCTCCTCACTCTCTCTCCTCTCCCCCTCTCCTCTCTCCCTCTCTCTCCACTCTCCTAGCTCTCCTCTCCTCTCTCACTCTCTCATTCTCTCACCTCCTGCTAATATATTGTCTACGTCGTTATATACATATAGGTCGTTATGGAGGTTCTTATACACACAGGTCACACAGGTCACACATACGCACGCACACACACACACACACACACACACACACACACACACACACACACACACACACACGAGGCCACAAGTAGGTTAGGTTAAGTTTTAATGAGTGACCTAATTAGTAATGACTGATGTTTCCTTCACCACCACTGAAAGTTAATTACAGGTGCAGTTTGTTTATGTGGAAGGGTGAGGTGAGGGTGAGGAGGGGTGAGGGAGGTGAGGGGGTGAGAGGTGAGGGTGAGGGTGAGGTGAGTGAGGGTGAGGTGAGATGAGGTGAGGTGAGGAGGGTGAGGTGAGGTGAGGTGAGGGTGAGAGGTGGTGAGAGGTGAGGAGGGGTGGGTAGGGTGATGAGGAGGGGGAGGAGGATGTGGAGAATTGGCAGAAAGGGGAGGAGATGAGGGAGGTGGTGAGGGAGGTCATGGGGAGGTGGGGTGAGAGGTGGGGGATGGGGGGTGGGGGTGGGGAGGGAGGGAGGGTGGGGGGTGGTGAGGGAGTGTGAGGAGGTGAGGGGGTGAGAGGTGAGGGTGGTGGGGTGAGGGGTGAGAGGGTGAGAGGTGGGGGGAGGAGGTGAGGGGTGGTGAGGAGAGAGTCAAATGGGTGGGGAATTTAATGAAAATGGAGAGAGAGAAAGAGAGAGAGAGAGAGAGAGAGTCTTTATTATCATATAATGATCCTTAGAAAAATAAATAAAAAATAAGAAAAATAAGAAAAAGAAAATATTATACGAAGAAAAGAAGAGGAAGAGGGAGGGGAGAAAGAAAGAGGGAGGAGGGAGGAGGAAGAGGAAGAATAGGAGGAGGAGGGAGGAGGAGGAGGAGGAGGAGGAGGAGGAGGAGGAGGAGGAGGATGGGTGACGCAAATGGGCACGTCATCTCCAGGTAGTGCGGAGGAGCCTTGAACTGAAGGAGGTAGGAGGAGAAAGGAGGGAAGGAGTGTACGAGGGAAGGGAGGAGGAGGAGGAGGAGGGTAGGAGGGGGAGGAAGGAGTGGGGGAGGAGGAGGAGGACGTGGGAAGGAGGAGGAGGAGGAGGAAGGAGTGTGGGAGGAGGAGGAAGGGGAGGGGAGGGAGAGGAGGGAGGAAGGGTGTACGAGGGAGGGAGGAGGGGGAGGAGGGAAGGGAGTGTAGGAGGAGGAGGAGGGAGGAGGAGGAGGGGAAGGAGGGAGGAGGAGGGAGGAGGAGGAGGGAAGGAGTGTGGGAGGAGGAGGAAGGAGTGTAGGAGAAGGAGGGAGGGTGTGCGTGGGGAAGGAGGGAGGAGGAGGAGGAGGGAGGTGTGGGAGGGGGAGGAGGAAGGGGAGGAGGGGGGGAGGGAAGGAGAGGGGAGGAGGAGGGAAGAATTGTAGGAGGAGGAGGAGGAAGGGAGGAGGGAAGAGAGGAGGAGAGAGGGAGGAGGGAGGAGTGTAGGAGGAGGAAGAGTGTAGGAGGAAGAAAGGAGGAAGGGGAGGAAAGAAGTGTGGGAGGAGGAGGAGGCAGACAGAGAAAGAAAAAAATAAAAATGAGAAGATATATATATATATATATATATATATATATATATATATATATATATATATATATATATATATATATATATATATATATATATATATATATATATATTTGCTCACCTCTTGTCTGCTTCAGTAATTAATCCATACACTCTGACCTCACGTTAAGACCAGAGGCTAATTATACTACCATGGTACAGTAATTAGTCATCTCTTAGGCCTCTCTCTCTCTCTCTCTTCTTTCAATCCTTCATTCTCTCTCTCTCTCTCTCTCTTTTTTGTATCCCTCATTTTATCTATCTGTCTCTTCCTCATTCTTTCTCTCCACTGTATACCATCCTTCAACACACACACACACACACACACACACACACACTCAACTTCTCTTCCTCCTTCAGGCTTAATAGAGACACTGTACTTAAGATCTTCTCAGAATACTAAATAAAGATTAAGAGATAATGAGATATTGGAGACAAGTAGGTGAGAGAGATGAAGAGATTGTGTGTGTGTGTGTGTGTGTTAAAGATGTGTGTGTGTGTGTGTGTGTGTGTGTGTGTGTGTGTGTGCAGTGTGTGTGTGTGTGTGTGTAGTGTGTGGGTGTGTCCCGTTTTCTAAGAATAACAACAGAAAATCGTATAAATAATCGAATAATATTTCCTACAATTAGTTTTCCAGGACACGTTTAAGTTTTCCTGGAATTCTGGAACAAACTCATCACTGGAATGTTTCGTTTACCTGGATATAATAAGTTAGTTTTATTTTAATAATTTACGTATATTTATTTGTTATTTAGTGACGGTAAGAACGTATCTAATTGGTTAACTTAAATTCGTGTAATAGAT